CCCAATGTTACAGAGGAACTTTGGGTGACTGTCCAGGTAGTGAGATGTCTCTGTCAATTTTAGTGTTTATATATTATCCTTCTGTGGTCTATGATGGAGTTGAAGACAGATAGTTATAATTATAGTTTTCCTTAGTTATGACAAAAGATAAGCTACATATAAGACTTCAGACTCACAAAGATAGGATAGATGATATTTTCTTTAAATCTTACTAAATGTTAATGGACAAAATATTATTATAGTTCTTATTTGTTAACTGTTCTTTTATATATAATTTGACTATGTTAAAGTTAAAACCTTTCTTTTTATTTAGACAGAAAAGAGGAGATGATGGGAGATGTCATTCTGTAAATCTGTCTCTTTTGTTGGTTGTTGAATAAAGCACTGTTGGCCAATAGGGAAGCAAGATAGGTGGGACTAGGAGTCAAGGAGGATTCTGGGAAAGAGACAGAATCAGACACCATGTAGGCTGCCATAGGAATAAGAGGTCTGGACCCTGTTCTCCAGTAAGAGAAATACTTAGATTAACAATTATGGGATAAATACTTACGTCAGAGCTAGCCAGTAAGAAACAAGCAAACGGCCAACAGCTTCATAATTAAAAAAAAAAATCTAAGAGATGTTGGAGAGATGACTCAGTGGTTAAGACCAGTGGCTGCTCTTGCAGATGTCCTTACTTCAATTCTCAGCACCCACATGATCTGTGACTCCAGTCCCAGGGGATCTGATACCTTATTTAGCCTCCAAGGCACCAGGCATATATGTAGTGCACATACATTCAGGCAAAACATCCATACACATAAAATAATTAAGGAATCTTTAAAAATCCAAGGGAGGTAGGATGTAAGACAGCAATAGAGCGTCTGTCCAGCATTCCCAAGACCCTAGATTCAATCCTTAAAAAAGAGAGAGAAATGGAGATGGGAGGGAATCTTTTAATAAATAAACATCTGAGATATTTCCTTAGCTAAAATGTAACTAAGTATTCTTTAAAGGCCATCAGAAGTTATCAAAACAGCATACTTTGTTTGCTGTATCTGGTATCTAATCCATACTTCAAAGATGTTAGGCAAGGGATAGCTGTGACATTATACCATAGCCCCACCCTGTCCTTCATTTTGTTAGGAGATTTTGTTAGTTCTTTTTACATTTACTTATTTGCATATGTACTAAGAGGAGAGCACACATGCCACAGGATGCATATGGAGGTCAGAAGACATTTTGCAGGAATTGGCTCTCTCCCATCATGTGAATTCTGGGGATATAGTTGAAGTCATTAAGCTTGGCAGAAGGTGCCTTTGTCTTCTGAGCCCTCACAATACCCCTAGGTCTTTTTTGTTGTTTTTATTTTTGTTTTCTCAATGTTTGTTGATAATGAAACAAACTTTACAAGTTAAAATGTAAAACTTAGCAAGTTCTGGGAAAACCAGAGCTTCACAGAGAAACTCTGTCTCAAAAAGACAAAAAGAAAACAAAAGAAGAACTCTGGTTATGAACCGAAGACACATTAACTCAGCATTAATATGAAGACACATTAACTGATGCTAATTGGACCCCTTATTGTGTATAAGTAGATAATAAAAAATGTCCTTCCTGCTTAAAAAAAAAAAACAAAGAGTACCTGATGCTTTTCCAAAGGACCAGGGTTCAGTTCCCAGCACCCACATCAAGAGGCTCACAACTGCCTGTAACTCCAATTCCAGGGGATGCAATGCCCTCTTCTGTCCTTTTAAGACACTACAAACACACACTAAAGCACAGATACATCATGAAACAAGTAAATCCTTTTTTTTAAGAATTAGGGTTCTAAGTTTCATAAATTGAAAACTTATTTTGATCGCAACAAAAATAAAGTATTTGGGCACCCAAAAAATCACATCAAATACAAAATAAACTAGCCTTTAACAACTAGAAAGGTCCATGGAAAGCTCAGAGAATGGAAAGAATGTAGCTCAGAAATGAATGTCGTTCTCTGTGGTGTAGAAAGATTGTGGGCTGGAGAAAACAGAAGGCTGAGTCTTTGGCTCTTTGGTTTCCTCCAGGGAGTTCATCTGTCCTTCTGGGAACAAACCCAAAGCTTGGTCAAGACAGTGTTTGGCCTAACAAGCAACAAAGGAGGGTACATAAGAGGGAGCTGGGAAATGAGTGCATGGAGAGCAGAGCATAGCCTGAGCACGCGGCCCCACAGCCTAACAAGGAGCCAGCCTTCCACTGTGCTACCCGGTGCAAGTGCCCAGCAGTGAGAGAGACACAGGAGAGGAACCTACGTAGCTCAGTGTGTGATCTCCACAGAGAAAGAAAGACAGGGAGGGCACAGGGAAGAAAAAGAAAGTGGAGGGGACATTTGTTTAGGACACTGTCCAATATGGCAGCCATTAACTATGTGTCCAGTCTGAAGTACAATGTTTCATATGTACAAGTTACATCTGAGAGCTAAGGAGATGGATCAGCCAGTCAAGTGCTTGCCCTACAAGCATAGGACCTGAGATTAATCCCTGGAACTAATGTTTTTTAAAGACTGGTGCTATGATGTGTATTTGTAATCCTAGCACTGGGGAGGTGGTTGAAATGACATTTTATATACACTAGGTTAAAGAAAATACATAATAAAAATAAATTTTATCCCAGTACTCAGAAGGCAGAAGCAGGTAGATCTCTGTTACATAAGTTCCTAGCCAGTGAGACTTGTTTTGAAATAAATAAATAAAATCTAAATTAAATTAATTTCATCCATTCCTTTTACTTCCTTTGAAATAGCTACTCAAAAACTGAAAATGACATGTGTAGCCCACATTTGTGACTTGCATTTCTGTTAGACAGTGGTAGCTTAAAAGTCCCCAAAATGGCCACCAGATCAGGACAGAGGGGCCTCTGTTTAAAATGGGTCCTGGGTGAGTGGGTTGTATGGGTGGAGACCATGGAGGACAGTGGGCCAGCTGGGAGTAAAGACAATGAGGCTGTGTTCGGCAGTTCATTTTGGGTTGAGTGTGACCAGGGGCAGTGCCAGGACAATGGGCACACCCATACTGTAATAGGAAAGCCATGGTTACTACTCTTTCTTGGCTCAAAATATCAGTGGGTTTATACCCAGATCAAGATCTAGAACTTCAAACTGGAAAGCAGTGCTGAGCAACTCACTCAAACCCACCCACTCCTGTACCCCTCCAACTGAGGAGGGGGAGCCAGAGACGACAGGCAACTGCCAGTCAGAGATTCCCTCCAGAAGCTTGCATTTTACCTGCATGGGAGGAACGCACCTGTGCTCTCAGCACTTGCATTTTACCTGCATGGAAGGAACGCACCTGTGCTCTCAGCACTTGCATTTTACCTGCATGGGAGGAACGCACCTGTGCTCTCAGCACTTGCATTTTACCTGCACTGGGGAGGCTAAGGAAGGAAGGTCCACGTTTGAGACCAGCAAGACCTCCTAACAGAGGAGGGGTTCATTCACGACAAAGGGCAGACTGGACCTACTGTACTATACATCATCCTGGCCCAGCTCCTCACTCCTCCAGAATCAGAGCCAACTTCTACAAGTCAGAATTCGTGAAGTCAAATAATCAACCTAAAATGCCCTGCGGCCCCAAATGAATTAAACGTGAAGGCCTCTGGGAAAATGAGAAGTGTCCCTGCAATCTTTATCATCTGAAACATGTCCCAGCAAGATGGATTCTGAACCCCGAAGACTGAATACAGACCCTTGGCAAGAGCTTTGAGACACGAAGCTCAAGTGTGGGGCACTGCACTCCAGCCAAGAAGCCTTAGTGGCCACCTAGCTCCGACAAGGGAACAAGCTGAGGCCCCCAAAAACGTGACATATTACACTCCGCCTTGATATTACTTTCTGTAAATTCTCTGACTATAACCCAATCCTTTTCAGAAAACTGACAGGAGTAGAGTCTGAGGCTTGATGTCCATTCTCAGCCTACGGAGTCCACTGTCCTTAACTCTTAGGATTTTAAATATATGTGTGCGTATACATATATGTGTGTGTGTGTGTGTGTGTGTGTATGCTATACATACACGTGTATACTATATATACACATATATGTATATGTATGTACACACATATGTATATGTACATATATGCTTCTGTGAATATATATTGTGTGTATTGTGTATCTGTACAGACTCGTGCATGTGGTGGGGTACATGGGGCCATCAGAGGGTAACTTTTCAGAAGTCAATTTTGTTTGTTTGTTTTTTCGAGACAGGGTTTCTCTGTAGCTTTAGAGCGTCCTGAAAAATCACTCTGTAAACCAAGGTGGCCTTGAATACACAGAAATCTGCCTGCCTCTGCCTTCCAAGTGCTGGGATTAAAGGCGTGTGCCACCAATGCCTGGTTCAGAAGTCAATTCTTTCCCTCCATGGTTCTGAAGATGGAATTCAGGTCATTAGGCTTGCTCAGCAATTGCTTTTACCTGCGTGGACCTCTGAATGTGTACTTTTCTATCTTGTTTTCAAAAGCCACTGGTTGTAGTGTATAATTACCAGACTGGCGTTGAGTAACCAAGTGAAATTTTCTGTTCACTTTCGCTTCTACGGAGTGAGAGGAGCGAAGTAAGTCTAATTCTGCATCTGATTCCCAGAGCCCAGCCTGCCTAAGAGGTAAAAAACGAAGCCTGAACTTGAGGGCACAGAGCAGATGTGAGCCACGAGCAGCAAGCGTGATAGTCAGGCCTGTGGTTATTACTCTGAAAGCGAGTCCTCTCAGGTCAAAGTACAGAAAATGGTGGTAGAAAGTAGAGGCTTCCAGCACCATGAGCAGGCCCCCAGAGAAGCCTGAGAGTGGCAAGATCGGTGCCCACGGGTGGGAAAGCTCCCTGGGAAAATCTAACGGCTTAGCCTGAGCTGCAGCAGGCTGCGAGGCCCTGGGGGAAGGGGCAGCGGGCGGAGGTCGGACAGGCTGGCAGTTCTAAGGGGTGCTTCTTCGCGGAAAAGTGCTGCCCGGGATGCCACCAGTATCGTCCGTGGGTGGCGGCTCCAGGACGCTGCCTCACCTGGGGCCCGGCCGCCGCGCTCTGGGTCTCTGCCCGGGATGCGCGGGCGCAGCTCGCCAGCACCACGAAGCCGGATGGGTGGCCGGGTGCAGCCTCCAACAGGGCGGCCTTCACGGACGTGGTGCCCAAGTCGATGCCGAGGGTGACGGGTCGCGAAGCCATGGCAGCAGTGACAGCGAAGCTCTGGTGGCTTGAGCAGCGCGCTAGCCGAGGCACACTTTACAGGGGGGAGGGCAGAGCGGGGGCGGGGCTCCCTGCCAATCTTTCAGGCGCACGCAACATGGCGACTTCTTGTCTTCCCATTGGTCAAGGAAGGCCGACTCACACACACAGCGACCCCCGGCTATAGGTGGAGAGGCGACAGAAGGCGGGACCTATTGAGCTGAGGTTCCAGACCGTGGGACGCGTCCGAGAATCTTCGCCGAGTAGCACCCGGTTTCCCCAAGAAGACAGAGGCTCCGAGAGCCCTGCTACCCCTACAAGTGACCAGATCCCCCCCTCACATCCAAGCCCCCGTCCCTACCATGGCGCCGGCGCCCTTCCGCCCTTCCCTCCACCCTACCCAGCTTTATCTGGCTATGATGACTCGTGAAAACTACAACTTCCAGAGTTCTCTCCGCTCCATGAGTCAGGTGGTTCGGATCAGATGACAGCCGGCCCCGCCCTCACACAAAGTCCTCGGAGTCCACCGAGTCCCTAACATTCTGAAGCGCACCTGGCGGGAGATTGCTGCTCTCAGTGAGGTCTGTCCACCGAGCTTCGGAGGCTGTCAGGTGAGAACCATCGCGGTCCGTACGGCTCCCCTCTTCCCGATAGGACACTACCCACCCCAGCACACACCAGCCCGGCACCAGAGGGGCAGTCTGCCGCGAATCCAGCCTCGGTCAGCAGCGCTGGGTTTCTATCTGGCTATAACCCCAGGTTGAAGGGCCAGGGTATTAGTCAAAAGCAATGATACCGGCTGCCAGCTAGTGTTGGTGGCACGGTTCGAGTACAGTTGGAACCCGTTGCTTTGCCTCCTCTAGTGCCGCCGGAATCTGGCTTGGGAATGTGCTGGTAGCTTTGGGGGGAAAAGTTAGATACTGTCAGGACCATTCCAGAAGCTCCTGTTGATTCGCCCCGAGGTAGAGAGGACACCTGGGTCTTTCTTTCCTTTTCAATAATATTGAGGAAAATAATCACATGCTTTGTGAGAGCTAGCTGGGAGCCCTGGGTGGTAGTAGTAATAACATTACATCATTGTTTCTCAACTTTTTTTTGTCTTATCAGTCCACCTCCTTAAAATTTTAATACAGCTGATAAGCACTATTTTTATATTGTGGCCTTTGAGAGAGCCGCAAACAATGATTACAGATGTTTTCAGACCCCAGAGCCTATTTTAGCCCCCTTACATTTCATCTCGCTTTAATTCTGTGGTGCAGTTACCACTGTCCCTGTTTCCCCATTAGGAAGCATAGGAAGAAATATTCCAAAATCATACATTAAGTAAATGGGAACCGGGACAGTGCATCTCCGGGGAGCATATTCCTTGTCCAGTCTATGTTATCCCTTAAGGCAGTTCCAGGTATGGACCACCAGCTGGACTACCTCAGACACCTGACAAAGGGAGGCTGCTGCAGGAGATCGCTGATTCCAGGCTGCTCTCGAGTGGGGATGGTAGAGGTTCCTGAAAGTGTACCATTTGACTGAGACCTGCAAGATGGTTAGAACACACACACACACACACACACACACACACACACACCAGAAGAAGGCCATGGCAAGTGCTTTGTTTTTTGTTTATCTTGTAACTTTTTACAAGTGTAGTTGTGTGGTTAACCAATCTGATCTTTTTAGCATTGTGGTTATCTTGTCGATTCCTTTTCCATCTGTTCTGGGGTCTTCCTTCCGGATGTCTTAGCCTTTAGTATTGGGGGATTTTTTTTCTGACAGAGTGTTTGAATTTCACAGTCTGTATCTGCTTCAGTGAAACTAAAGAAGAGATTTTTGTCTTTTTAAAGAGAAGAACACTCTGCCAATGAAACTCCGTTCATTTTTGTTTCGTGAACTGGGTTGTAGCGAGCAGTTGAGGGAAGGTACTGGTCTGTGCTCACTTCCTCAGAGTAGGGTTTTTGCACAACCCGTTTAGCTGCTCTGAGCAGGTTTGCCCATCGCATGAAACAAAGATAAGTCCTCTCTGGGGTCTCCTTCTCGGGGGTTATGATGCCAAGTCTGTGAGGTCAGAGGTCACAGAGCCTGTGAAGTAGAAGTCCTTTATGAACTGTCCCACTGCCATGGCTCAGGTAACATGTTGTCCACCAACAGCAGAGCTCATTAAACCTTAACATGCCTCTCTTGCTGTTTGATTGTTTTCCTAGTTCCGAGAAGTCAAAGAGCATGATGAGAAGCTGGCTGCTTATTCTGACCCTTTTCCTCTTGAAGTTCATAGAGAAATGTGGTAAGTTTTAAGAGTGACTTCCCAGCTTTATAAAAAGGGAAATAGTGGAAAGAGTAACCTCTTTGTCATAAAAGGTTTGGTGCTGTCCAGGACACCTGTGGTCAGCCTCCCACTCAGAGACATTTTACAAAGAGCCAAATGGTCCCAAATGCAATTGGCCTTTTACCCTGGGGTCCCTCTTGCCTTCTCTGTATCAGCACAGATAACAGTTGGTTCTTTATCCGATTGTACGACTGGCTCTCGGAGCCTTACCAAGCTGAGATAATGCCTGTAAGGAATAGCTTGTGCTTCTGCCCTCTGGACCTTGCAAAGAGAGTTATGGGTCCTGAGAGACACTAAGAAGGCCTTGTACCTGGTTCTCCCAGGCACAGATGCAAGACAAGTCTACCTGGCCCCACCTTGTAAGAGAAAATACCTTTCCCTTAGAGACGATTGGAGATGATTAACAGTACGCTGAGCCACACAGAAAGCAGCACGCTGGTGGGGTTTACACATCCTTGTCAGTGGACCCCTTCAAATGCAGTTGTCACACCCAAGACCTTTCTGGAACTCCTTCTTTTGTGACTAGCTTTGTTTAGTTTTCACAGTGCCCAGGCCCATTGTAATCATTGGGTAGGTCGACACTCCAAAGCAAATGTATCTTAAAGTCCATGACAATTTCCAGAGGCCTGGGGCAAACACTAGAAATCCTACATGTTCCCTAAAGTTGCACACACTAGCTACATCGTTATGGTTGTCTGGCCTCTTGACTGCCAGAGAACTCGTCATCTGGTCAGCTCATCCAGGTTTGGTAAATGTCAGTCATGTTCCTCTGCAGTCACAGCTTATGGAGTTCTGGGGGAGGGAACACACACACACTCTCTCTCTCTCTCTCTCTCTCTCTCTCTCTCTCTCTCTCTCTCTCTCTCTCTCTCTCTCTCTCTCAGACCATGAGGCTTGTTCATGCCACCTTTCTTCAGAGGGATGCCACAGCCACCAACTCTGGGAAGTGAGTGCATGTGGTTGTGGATGCATGTGTGCAGGAGCTCATAATGGATACTACCTAGGAGATAATTGGAATTCTTGCTAGTACTCCAACTACACAGAGGGTAAACTGAGACCCAGGCAGGGTAAAAAGCTTCACAGATAGCTGGGACTGAAATAGGGCCTCCGTTCTGTTTGCCTCTTTCTCCTGACCAACTCTATGAAAGAGCAATGGAAGCTACCACAAAATTGAGAACCTGGAATTGGATTGGATCCCAGCCTCATTCTGCTGAACTTTTCTTCTGTTTGTGGTGTCAGCATCAAGGATGACACAAGAACAGAAGGCCTCCAGAATGTGTCACTTCTGACTTCTTTGAGTGGAGTCTGTGGCAGTGCAGTCTAGTGGTCACAACTTGGGCTTTGGACCCAACGAGCCTAGCTTTGAATCCTTAATCAGTCGTTTCTGGCTATGTGGGCAGGACTTCTTTGTTCTTGGAGGGAGTTTCTTTGACTTAAAATAGGACTGAAAATGCCCATCACCTATTGTGATAATTATAGAATGGGGTGAAGAAAACAACAGAAATGGTGCCATACCTGTATCCCAGCACTCGGGAACTGAAAGGGGAGGATGAGTAGGTCCTTGTGTCCCAGTCAGACTTGGGATACCTCACTAAAATAATGAATAAAGTGCCAGCAGCAAGGGCTGGAATGAGTTAGGATGCAGGAGGTCATCCCAGCCAGTGAGAGGCTTAGATCTATTATCCTGGCTACTGGGAGGCTGAGGCAGGAGGATCACAAGTTTAAGGCCTACACAGGCTATGGAACAAAATTAATTGAAGGCTGCTTGAACAACTTAATGAGACCCTACCTCAAAGTTAAAAGATGAAAACGTAAGAAGGGCTGAATAGAGATCACTTGCGCCTCATGTGCAAGGATCTGCATTCAATCCCCAGGAAAAAGGGAAGGAGAGGAGATTGATGAATACCTTTATGGGGAACAAGGCAGTCTCCCCATGACGCATGCTGTCCCAGGATATGATAGCTTCCCAGCTGCCTCCTATCTTGGTCTAAAAATGCCCCGCAGTTGTAAAGCACTGGCAGTAGTAGAAGCTAAAAACTGTTTAAGATTGAGACCGTGTAGAAAGTAGAAAGCATGCTGCTAACAGTTCTGCATTTTATCTGTGACTTAGATCTTTTGTTTGGTTTGGTTTTTGTTTTTTGAGACAGGGTTTCCCTGTATTGTTTTTGGAGGCTGCCTTGAACTAGCTTTTGTAGACCAGGCTGGCCTCAAACTCACAGAGTTCTTTGAAAGCTCCCGTCTTCCTACTTTAATATATAAAGACTGGAAAATCTAACTCCCTGACATCCTTTTAAGTGCCTATACATACACATATAGCATGCATGTCCCTGCCCTGAGCAGTGGCTTGCTCTGGGTCTTACTTATCTGATCTAGTCCTGAGCAGTAAATAAAATTTCATAGACTGGAATAGTAAGTCCTGCACTCCCTTAGCTGGGCAAGCCCAGAACAAAGCCTCAGATTGATAGCTAAACAGGTAGGATAGAGTTAACATAGCAGGTAGGATACAGAGTTAGCATAGCAAGTAGGACACAGTTGGCATAGCAGGAAGAAAAGTGTTGCCAAAGCAGCCTCCAGACCCTGAGGCTACAGCCACTGATCTGACCTGAGGAATCCACTCAAGTGAGGGGACTAGAGACTGTGTACTATGAAGAGTCACATCTGGGAGACTTGTGCCTTAGGGACAGCCACAATCTGCACTTATACATGGGGAATAAGCTGAAGAAAGCAGCTCAGATGTGGCAGAGCTGGGCCCAGAAGTGTGAGTTCCAAGCTAGGGAGCACATTAGGAGGTAAGGTGACTCTCCCAGGAAGTGTCCATGCAGCAGAAATACCAAGGGAGAACTGGTTGGGGGAGGTAACACAAGTTCTTTCCAACCTGAACTCTAATATGCAGGTCCTAGCTCTTCGTCTTCTGCCATGGAGGGTTCTGGGTAGAGGCCTGCACCTTCTGTCCCTATGAGAGCCACCAGATGGAGCACTTCTCTGCTGCCCAAAATGCCCTTCCCTCTCCTAGTCTGAATCTTTGATCATGACTTCTAGGATGTGCCTCTCCTTGAAGTCTGGGAGTCAGGGGAGGTGAGACGGGCAGGTATGCCATGAAGCTTTGAGTATACCTAGGCATGGTACAGTGATGGGGTGCTGGGCCATCCTAAGAATATAGTAACTGCTCAAGCTAGCCAGCCATTCCCTGTGACCACAGCGTGCTGGTTTATTTGATCTCCCAAAATGATCTTCCTTCTTCCTCTTGGTTTTCTTGTTTGTTTTGTTTGTTTTTTCCGAAACAGGGTTTCTCTGTGTAGCTTTGGAGCCTGTCCTGGAACTTGCTCTGTAGACCAGTGTGCCTTTGAACTCACAGAGATCCGCCTGCCTCTGCCTCCCGATTGCTGGGATTAAAGGCGTGCGCCACCAACACCTGGCTTTGTTTTGTTTTTTGATGCTAGAGATTAGATTCAGGGTCTTATGCTTACTAATCATACATTCCTTCTCTGAGCTATACTCTCAGCCTAGCTGTCACCCCAACATGGTTTTCTAAGACCCAAGCCTACTTCCTCCTTTATCATGGGGGACTGTTTGTCTACCTTCTCCTGATAGTGCCAGGAAGCAAACCCTGATAGTGAAGAGTGTACACTCCTCGCCACTATCCTCCAGTCCCTAGCACACAGTCCCAGAAAGGGAACCATGCATGGGGTGAGCTGAGTCTTCGGGAAAGCCCAGATGGTTCTTTAGAAACATGCCAGGCCTTATGCCCGTCTCAGAATCCAGGAATGAGACAGACCGGTTTTTCAGAGGAGAACCCTGCGCTGTCCATCCGCAGACGGTTCCAGGCTACCCTTTACAGTCACGGACATTGGTTTGAATTTCTTTTTTATAACTTTTGGGCTCTGTGGGTCCCAGACTGTTTCTGGAAACTCAGCTTGCCTGCAGAGGGGAAGGAGAAGGAAGTTCCAGTACTTCCTGCTCTAAACTGTGTGGCAGTCTGGCCCTGGTGCAGAGATGGGAAGAGCCTAATGTCAGTCTGGAAGTACACCTAGGAAGCAGAACTACCACGGGTCAGGACTAGTGAGTTCAGAAGGCAGGGGCTGGTGCCCACCCCTCCTCTCTGTCCTCGTGATTCATGTCACTGGCTTGGGTCTTTCCAGAGTCAACTGTCAGTCTCACTGCTCCTCCCACTGTGAAGCTGGAAAATGGCAGTTCAACCAACGTCAGCATCAGCCTTGGGTAAGTTCTGTCCCCAGCCCCACTTGGGACTGACCTCTGGCACAGGCTGCATGTACTTCCAGTGTGACGCTCTTGCCTTTGTTGTAGGACATAAAAATAGAGGCACAAGCCCAGGACTGCAGAGCAGGGTCCTAAAGTCAAACACTTACAGAGTCCTTATTTCCACTGGGAGGAAAAGGAACACTTTTCCCTAGAAACATGAGCTGTTTCCTCTAGCAAGAAGAGTCTTCAGGTGGTCACAGGTGATGCCAGACTCCCTTTGCAAGACTAAATATTTGAGCAGAGCCCTAAAAATCAGAAGGCAAGGAACTAAGCTCCTGAGCAGCACAGCACGGCTGAGGTCATTTGCCAAAGCAGAAGTGAGAGTATCCAGGGGTCCACACTCCCCTGTTCACACTTTGCTTTTCTCTGAGAGTCTTACTTGCTGACATCTGCTAGTTTAGGTGTGAAGGTCCTGGCCTGGGTCCCCCTCCGCCAGAAGATATTCCTCTGTCTCTGTGGCCTTCGACTGCTTTAGCATGCCTATGGCTCCCAGCTGAGATAATGCCCTTCACTCCCCACCTGCCTGAAAAGTCCTATCTCAGACCTAAGCTCTGGTCCCCGGGCCTCCTCACAGGCCTGCTGCTCTCTCCTCTGTACCTTGCACACCTGTCATGTAAATCATCCAACTTACCGACCCTCTCTGGAACCCTTAAATGGCTTCCCACATTTGAGGCTCCCATGGGTTTCTCCCAAAGGGCCTCACCTCATTCAGTTGCCGCTGACCTTCATATCACACCCTGCTCAGACCTGAGCCTCCCAGAGGTGCCTTTCACATTGGGCAGAGCCATCGGCCTGTCCCCTCTATGTGCCCCCATTATTCATAGCAGAATTCCACCTTCTTGTGTTCTCACGCTACCCCAAAGGAACATCTAGTCTCCTAATAAAGCAGGAACATGGTTCCTTCCACTTCTTACCTCTCCCAGTTTCAGGACAAATATCTAGGTAAAGGTATTCTTTTATAGAAATAAATGAAAGTAAAGCATAATATCATGCAAAAGAAGTCAATCAAAAAATCCCCGGGCTGTCAGATTCTTTGTGTATAAAATATAAAAACAGTGACTCCATGATGTCAGCCAGTGGTTATCCTTGGGGTCAGGAAACTGGAGGGGAGCAGAACAGGGCATCCAGGGTTTTGGAAACGCTCAGTTCTTGATCTGTAGGATGTGTGCAGTCTGAGCACATTGCCCTTCCTGATCCTGATTTCCTAAGAAAGGAAGGCCTGTGTGAAACCCACAGGGTTGATGGGCACCTTACAGGGTCCAGTCTCCCAACAGTAACTAGACTCTTATCCTCCTAGGCAACCATTGAACTCAACCTTGGTGATCACTTTTGAAATCACATTTCATTCAAAAAATCTTACTATTCTGGAGCTTCCTGATGAAGTAAGTAACAGACCTTACTAATGCTTTAGGCGACGCTAGGCATCAGAACACATTTTAATTAGGAACTTGAGGGGAAGTCACCTAGCTCTCCAACCCTCTGCATTCCATCCTAGAAATGTGTGGTTGGGCTTTGTTGGTCTCCTTAAGGGTGTTTTCTGCTGTGCAGTTTGGGTGAAAGGATTCACAAGATAAAGATGAGTCGGGATGAACAGCATCCAGGGCTTCACTCCTACAGCCCAGCCGGGGTAATAATAAGGTATGGTGTGCAGGCAGGTGCCAAAAAGGAAGCTTGAGGCAAAGGTGGTCCTGAGAATGGAGAAGTTCTAAAGGTATTCTAAGGCCCTGCCACATCTTTGGATAGGAAGTATCAGCCTTGATCTAAAACATTTTAGGAAGTGAGGGGATTCTCAATATGTAGAATGTTTACCTAGCATACATGACGCTTTAGGTTCATTCCCCGCCGCCACCACACACACACACACACACACACACACACACACACACACACACACAAAGAGGAAGGAGAGAGAGAGAGAGAGAGAGAGAGAGAGAGAGAGAGAGAGAGAGAGAGAGAGAGAGAGAGAGAGAGAGAGAGAGACTAGGCTGGAGAGATGGTTTAGCCGTTAAAGGCTCACAACCAAAAATATAAGAGAAAGAGACTTTCTGATTTTTGTATTTCTAACACAGAATCTCTGGCCCTATCCCAGACCTACTGATTCAGATTCTGCATATTAACAGAGTCTGTGGATGGTTGGGGTCCAGGCTAAAGTTTGTGAAGCACCATTCTGAGACATGATTGGTGTCTGGGTGTCAGTGCAGAACTCTGTCTCTGAGGCTCTCTGGTGTAACAGTGGTGAGCAGTCACAGCTTTTCATGTCTATCTTCCTGCTTCTACCCTGCCAATGATGTGAACCCGTTGTTATCCAGCTAGATAAAAAACTTCAAAAGGGAAGCAGCAACTCCAAATAAGCAACAGTTTTTAAAAACAAACAAGTGGTAGTAGGCCTGTAATCTCAGCTATTTGAGAGGCTGAGACAGGAGGATTATGAGTTCAAGGCCTGCCTGAGCTGCAGAACAAGTTCATAGCCAGCCTGGGAAAATAGTGAGACCTGTCCCAAAATAAAAAGGAAGAAATAAAAAGCTGGAGTTATAACTGAGTGGTATAGCTGGATGTGATGTCACACACCTTGAATCCCAGCACTTGGGAGGCAGAGACAAATGGATCTCTGAGAGTTCGAGGCCAGCCTGGTCTAAATTGCAAGTTCTAGGACAGCCAGGACTACCTAGAAAGACCCTGTCTCAAAAAAATATATATATATAATAAACCTCAGTCATGAAGCATTTGGTAACATGTCAGAGGCACTGGTTCAGTCCCCAGTCCTGAAAGAAAAGAAACAACAGCTTAATGCCATTCAGTCAGAATGACTAAGTCTGAAGGCCATAGTGACTATTATTAACAATGTAGTATCAAATAATAGTATTTAGTTGAGGAAGGACCATGCATAGGACAGTGGTTCCATAAGGTTATATTACCCAGTGATGTCATAGTTTATTTGTATACACATTACAGTGTTCACATGACTATAAAATTGCCTAATGTCGCCTCCAAAGCCACAGAGAAACCCTGTCTCGAAAAACCAAAATTAAAAAAAAAAATTGCCTAATGTCTCAGATTAAATCCTGATGTTAAAGGACATGGGACTATACTTAAAAACTATTAAGAGACTAAATCTTCGATGTTCCCACCCCAACAAAAGAATGTTAAGGATGAGCTGGCAAGTTAAGCAATAGTGGAGAGACCACCTTGAATGCCCATTCCTGATAATGAACTTGATTTCTATAACCATCCTGGAGCCTTCATCCAGTGACTGATGGAAGCAGAGGCAAACACCCACAGTTAAACACTGAACTGAACACATGGGACCCAGTGACACAGAAAGAGGAGTGATGAGCAAATTGGCAAAGAACGGGCTGGCAAAACTAGCAGAGACAGCAGATCTGAACAAGGGAGAGCTCTTGGACCCCAGACCGACAGCTGGGAGGCCAGCATGGGACTGATCCAGACCCCCTGAGTATGAGAGTCAGTGAGGAGGCCTGGGCAACCTATGTGGCCCTGGGCAGTGGATCAGAGTTTATCCCTGGCATACAAACGGACTTTGTGTGTCCATAACACAGAGAGATGTTCTCTCAGCCTGGACTCTTAGGGGAGTGCCTGGACCCTGCCCTGAGTGAAATGACAGAGTCTAGATATCCCCTATGTGGAAGGAAGTGGTGATAGGGTGGGAGGCTGGGGGGATGGTGGGAGGTGCAGGAGGAGGGGAGGGAGAGGGAACTGGGATTGACATTTGAAGCAAGCTATTTAAAATTAAAATAATAAAATAAAAAAATTTTAAAAAGAATGTTAAGGATGTAAGGTAATGGATAAATTAATTATCTTATTTAACCATATTGCAATGAATACCTATATTAAAGCATCACACTTTATCATATGCAATTTTTATTTGCCCATCATAATAACAAAGGTGGGGGGCCACAAGAAAAAATTTGATATTCAAAAGACCCTGGGTGGTTGTGGAAATAGGCTACAAACCAACCAATTCAGAGCTCCTCAGCAAGCAAACAGCAGTGAGGGGGATTCAGAGTATCCTACCAAAGAGAGAGGCCCTCCATCAGAGGTGGCCCCATACAGCCTTATCCCCATGGGTAGCATTGTACAGTATTAACCACTGCAGACAGACAGACACAGACACACACACACACACACACACACACACACACACACACACACACAAGGACTGCAGGCTAAGGCCAATAAAAGACATAGTCCTAACAGTCTGGTGCAAGGCCTCTAAGGTTTGTTTGATCAGCAGGTCACATGTAGACTCTCAAAGGAGCAGACGCCAGTCTGTTTAGTTTAGGTATAGACATCAAAGTAAAAGTATCCTCTTGTAAAAATAAATGAAAGTCAAGAATATTAGACAAAAGAAGTCTATCATACACACAAACACACACACATACACACACACACACACACACACACACACACACACACACACACACACACGACTGTAAGGTTCATTGAATTGAAAAATACAAAAACAGCCGGGCATTGGTGGCGCACGCCTTTAATCCCAGCACTCGGGAGGCAGAGGCAGGTGGATCTCTGTGAGTTCGAGGCCAGCCTGGTCTACAGAGCAAGTTCCAGGACAGCCTCCAAAGCCACAGAGAAACCCTGTCTTGAAAAACCAAAAAAAAAAAAAAAAAGAAAAGAAAAGAAAAATACAAAAACAGTGAATTCATGGTATCAGGCCAGTGGTTATCTTCAGGGTCAGGAGACTGGGGCAGGGCTGGGGGAGCAGAATGGAGCTTCTGGGGTGTTAGAAATGCTCATTTCTTGTCCTGGAGCCTGAATGTGTGTGGTGTGTAGAGATGCTTCCTCAAGCTGTGGTGTGTGTACTTTTCTGTATATATGTTGTAGGCCAGGGTTTTTTATTATTAGCAGAGGGAGTCAAAACCAAACCATTTTTGGAAGGTAGTCTTTTTGAGCACCTGAACCTACCTTCTCAGGCTCCTCATTGGCCCCTTGCATTCCTATCCTGTACCTGTGGTATAAGAAGCCAGTGGTTAGAACCTAGAAGTCAGGTGGTCTAGGAATTCAGCCTAGAAGTGTTGAGTCAAGAACTTCAGCCAGCCAGTTTTTCTCATTGTAGACATAGGGTTCATCATGTCTCCTGGACCATACTCTGGGGATTAACAGTAATAGTAGGAAGTATAAAACGGTTGGCATTGCATCTGGCGGGGCTTCAAATCTTCAGTAAGAAGCCCCTGCTAGTCTGGCATTCCATCCCTTGGGAGCTGAAAGCAGGGTGATCCCAAAGCCTAGGCCAGATTGTGCTGTGTTAGCAAAACCCTGGTTGGGGAAGGGGTTGTGGGGAGGATCCAGGTGTGGTGGCTTGTGCCTGTAATCCCAGCACTCAGGAGACTGAGGCATGGGAATTTCTGTGAGTTTGAGGCCATAGTAAGTTGCAGGCCAGACAGACCTATACAGCAAGACTCTGTCTTAGAACACCAGAGAAAGGGACAGAGAAAGAAACCACTGTTGTTTTGTTTTTTGGGTTTTTTTTGTTTGTTTGTTTTTGTTTTTATTTTTCGAGACAGGGTTTCTCTATGGCTTTGGAGGTTGTCCTGGAACTAGCTCTTGTAGACCAGGCTGGCCTCGAACTCACAGAGATCCGCCTGCCTCTGCCTCCCAAGTGCTGGGATTAAAGGTGTGCGCCACCAACGCCCGGCTGAAACCACCGTTGTTTAATGAGACACATCTGTGTAGTACTTTACTTACAACCTAGGTTGGAGGTGGGACCTAGATGTTAAAAGGGAAAGTGGGACAGTTTGGTTCCATAAAGATGCCATCAAGCTGCCTGCTTTTCTGAGGGGATTTTAGTGTGGCAGAAAGATGACAAAAAAAAAAAATCAGATACACAGACAGGCTCCAAGCCCATCTTCCAGGAACGGGGCTTTCGATAAACATCAAGCAGAAATGACCACAAGAGCATCTTGTGTTCACACTTCTGCTTTGCTGTGTGACAATGAGGCAGGACACGGGGAATCATCCTTTATGAGTGTCACTGAGCATCACAGTAATAGAAATGGATACCGCTCTCACAGTTCAGTCATGATAGGAAGCACTCCCAGCCTGCCATGTGCCCAGCTCTGCACTGTAAGCTTTAGGGACATTGTATCATCCAAAGCAGCCCTGCGAGATAGGCCCTGGTGTTAGCCCCATGTACAGAGGAGTAGACTGAGATAGCATGGCTACTGGTGGTTAGCCAGGGGGAGCTAAGGACACCCTATAGTTGTGCCTAGAAAGCCAGATGGAAACATGACAGAGTGGGGTTCAAGTTGGCTGGCCCAGTGTTTCTTGTACCTGGTTAGTAAGTTCTCAGAAAGCAGAACCAAGTATGACATGCCCCGCCTCCATTCCCTAGTTCACAGCCTGGAGCCAGACCCTGTTAACCATACATGGCCGCAGATCAAATTCAGTCTTCCTAACAGGTTATAGTGCCTCTCGGACAGAAGAATGCCTCTTTCCAAGTGACTTCTCAAAATGTTGGGCAAGTGACTGTTTATCTACACGGAAATCATTCCAACCAGACCTGGTAGGCTGGCATCTGCCCCCACCCCTGTGGCCTCATACAGCAGGAAGGGTGGCCATGCACAGATGTGCATCAGGGCTTCCTCCAGAAGCTTCACCTTGATGCATCCTAACCCCAAATCCCTTTCTAGCCCCAGGATTCGGTTCTTGGTGATACACAGCAGAATCATTAGCATCATAAACCAGGTGATTGGCTGGATCTACTTCCTGGCCTGGTCCGTCTCCTTCTACCCACAGGTGATCCAGAACTGGAGGCGGAAAAGGTAACCTGCTCAGCTTAGTGCTGCCCCATAAGACCCTTGTAGGGCTGCAGGAAGTCACCCCTCTGCACTCGTCTCTGCCTGCTAGTAGGGTGGGGTTTCCCTTGCTAGGTAGTTGGTTCCTTGCCCAGTTCAGCTCTTCCCTATGGGAACAATGACATAGAGCGTCTCAACTGCTTAGGGGAAAGTCTGCCCTGAAGTTCCTTGGCTCTGGAAGGCTGGGTATCCACATCATGCAACCTTTAGCCCCAGAGAATAAGCCCTTTTGACTTGAAAGATAGAATAAAAGTAGGCCTGGGCTGAAGGACATAGTTCCCCTGTCTTGATGCTATCACATGGATCTCAGATCTCAGGGGACTGCCAAGCAGTGAGCCAGGGAAGTGGGTGCTGTTGCTCCCCTAAAGGCCTCCAGGAGAAACCTCTGGAGTGTGGGAGGGGAGGGGGAATTGGCTCTCAAGTTGGGTGGCATCAGACATGGTAATGGAGAGGCCTCTAAGGATGGTGCTGAGGCCTCATTTCCCATGTATGAGGAGCCATGGCCCCTCCCATCCCAGGGGATCCCCACCACCCCACCCCTGCCTTACCTTTTTTCCCCTCTGCCCCCCTGCAGTGTCGTTGGTCTCAGCTTTGACTTCTTAGCCCTGAACTTGACAGGCTTTGTGGCCTACAGCGTCTTCAACATTGGTCTTCTGTGGGTGCCCTACATCCAGGTACAGCATTGCTCACTCCCTGCAGCCCATCCGAGCTCCTGGGTGACTATGCCTCCCTTCACCTCCAGCTTCTTCTCACCCCCCAACAGGAGCAGTTTCTCCTCAAATATCCCAACGGTGTGAACCCTGTCGACATCAATGACGTCTTCTTCAGCCTGCATGCAGTCGCCCTCACCCTGATTGTCATCCTGCAGTGCTGCCTGTATGAGGTAAGCGATGAGGCCTGGTGACCTGCATGCCGCTGATGTCCTAAGCAAACCTCCACCCCACTCTACCCACGTGCCCTGAAGGGATGGTGACATGATGGCCCCCAGCCTTCTGTGGCCAAGTGGATTGCGGTGAACTTTCCTCTCCTGTCCCTGGCTTAACTGAGGGAGTATATCAGGAAAATAGTGTTTTCATGGGCCAAGGTTGAGTGAGGTTCTTGGTAAAGGAGAAGGCATGGTGAGAGGGAAGCTGTGAGGAGGTGGGAATGGCCAGGGTTAGTGGTACCATTGGGGAGACCTCCTGGGATGTCAGAGGACCCTGGATCCAGCTCTGTTGCTGAAAAGCTACCAGGGGTCTCCGTGTGGCACGAAGGCATATGTAAAGTCCCAGTAGTGGTGGTGGTGATGGCAGCACACTGCCTTTAGTCCCAGCACTCAGGAAGCAGAGGCAGGCGGATCTCTGTGAGTCTGAAGCCTGCCAGGTCTACAGAGTGAGTTCCAGGACAGTTGGGGCTACACAAGAGAACCCTGTCAAAAGAACAAAAGCAAACGAAGCCCCGTAAGTCCCAATGTTTCCTGAGTGCCCCTGATGGGACAGCTTCACCATCGCCTCCGCATGTGCCACCTCCACACACCACACAAGGCCCGTGGGAGCTGTGTGGCTTTCAGAGCTCATTGGTCTTTTTGCACCTTTGCTGTGACACTCTGCTGAAGGGGCCTCACTTTGGGGCCACGTCTAGAGGAAAGCTGGAGCCGGGGACAGATTCCAAGGTCCCCGGGTTTCATCCACACCGTGGAATGACCTGACAGCAGGGCGAGGTGAGGTGTGGGGGCCTCCAGCATCAGAATCTGTGCCCCTACACTGTTTGCTCCCTCCAAATGGGCTCTGAAGTGTCCAGAACTCGGGCAGGAGGATTCAACATGGATGGAACATGAGAGCTTGACTGCGAAAGGATGGGGCTGGTGCTAGGGGCTCCACCCCTCATCCCAGCCCAGGTCCGATTCACTCACCTCCCAGATAGAGGCCAACAATCTCTGAATTTGGTCCCCTACCCTGACCTTGTGCAGACAGCCCCAGTGCTCCTGGCCTCCTCTTCTGCCCCCAGCCCTGCCCTCACACCCATCCTGTACCCATCCAAAGCCATCCCTTCCTGAAACTACGAAGCAGCCTGTGTATCCACATCTACAAACCCCACCCTTGTCTCATCCTCAGCGGGGCGACCAGCACGTGTCATGGCCCTCCGTAGGTTTCCTGGTGCTCGCGTGGCTCTTTGTGTTAGTCACCATGATTGTGGCTGCAGTCGGTGTGACCACATGGCTACAGTTCCTCTTCTGTTTCTCCTACATCAAGCTCGCCGTCACGCTGATCAAGTATTTTCCCCAGGTACTCCAGAGTCTTCCTGCATTTTCATATGGCTGGTAGGGTGAGAGGCAAGAGGTACTGAGCCTGGGCGCCCTGTTCTCATGGGGTGGAAAGCTATAGCAGAAGCCGTCAAACCCAGAATGGCAAAACACCAGTGGGTACCACTGCATGCTCTTTCCTGGAGCCAGACTCGTGTGTCTTTCCTGGTAACTTTGGATTTCTCTCTCTTGACTGCCTACCACAATAGCCATAACAAGGACCAATGGCGGAAAATCAGAAAAGACCAGACAGAGGAGGGAGCTGACCACTGGGCCTTCTCCTTTGCAGAGATGTTCTCCGAGGGGGGTCCCTTAGCATGCTCCCCTCCCCAGTTCTTACAGTCCATTCAAGTTCCTGGGGCTTATACTCAAACATGTCACCCCTGACAAGCATAATAACCCTAGGATAGAGCCTGATACAAAGAAATGACATCCACATATGAGTTCTAGAGCCACCTGGAACTTCTCCCCAACAAAGCAGCTCAGTGCTGAGAGTCTTGTATCCTTCCTGCTAGAGATACAACACTGGCTATGGGCAGGGGTAGATCCTGAAGGAAAAAGTAGAGTTCTCTAGACTATGGAGAGTGCTGTTTCAGCCTGGGCAAAGACCTGGCTACTGAGCAATGTTGAGAATCTAGAAACTGAGTACCTAGAGCCAGGTCCCAGGGAATTTGCATGGAGGGACCAGGCTCTGTGGTAAGGCTTAAAGCTGGAACCTGAGGCAGGAGCATCTGTAGGAGACATTTGGAATTATCTAGAACTGGAGAGGGAACACCAAGTATGGTATAGAATAAGATCAGGACGGGGACCAGAAAACCACCAACAAAGCCAAGAGTTCCATCCTGGATGGTAGGGAAGGAGACGGTACCAGCCAGAGGTGCTCTGAGGGCACTGTGGATTTGGAGGAAGAACTTAAAGCTAGGGCAGCAGGAAGAGGGGGATTCCCAAGAGACTTGGAAGCCCCAGCAGTCTGAGGTGGCAGCTGGGCTACTGTATAGGTGGAAGAACAAAAAGAGTCCGTGGCTTTCCCAAGGTAGCCCCGAATCCAGAGCTCCCAGCCACATTCCTAAGTAGTGTGCAGCCCAGGCTAAGATCAGGGCAGAACCACTGGAGCTGTGAAGAATCAAGAGTCACAGTCAGACATAGTGGTATTCACCTGAAATCCTAGTACTCAGAGTATCTGGGAAGCTGAGGCAGAAGGATCATGAGTTCAAGGCCAGCCTAAGCTACATAGGGAAACACTGGTATAAAAATAAAAATCAGAGCTCTGTGTCTACTCTAAGATGTTGGAAAACTGGGCAGCATTCCCCCATCCCTACCCCCATCCCAATGGAGTCTGGGGGTGCAGAAGGGGCAGGAAGGAAAGGGAAGCTTCACTTGCCCTGCATGCAGACTGTTTTCCTGGCTCCAGTTTGTGAAAGCCCAGAGGTCATTGTGCTCCTTGGAGCCCTGAGCTTAGTACATGAGTGGGAAGAATCAGCAGATCTTATTTGGAGTAGCAGTCACGAGGCATGTGTGGCATTGTCTGTCCCCAGGCCTACATGAACTTTTACTACAAAAGCACCGAGGGCTGGAGCATTGGCGGTGTACTCCTGGACTTCACAGGGGGCAGCTTTAGCCTCCTCCAGATGTTCCTCCAGTCTTACAATAACGGTGAGTCTGCCAAAGCTGCTCCTACCCAATGGGTGAAAGCACGGGAGGAAAGGGCTTCTTGGGAACCCCTAGCTTGTACAATTTCCTGGGCAAACGGGGTCCTCACATCTCCACACATCCACCTGCCTTAGAAACAACCAGCCTAAAAACAGATCTGTCCCCTCTGGCTATTTAACAGACCAATGGACGTTGATCTTCGGTGACCCAACCAAGTTCGGACTTGGCGTCTTCACCATCTTCTTTGATGTTGTCTTCTTCATCCAGCACTTCTGTTTGTACAGAAAGAAACCAGGGTACGACCAGCTGAACTAGAACCCAGAGACCCAGTATAAACAGCCAGGGCTTGGGCCCTAGTAGGAAAGGTTATGTCCAGCAAAGGCCAGAGAAGCAGCTGGTGGACAGAGCTGGTACAGCATACCGACAGAGAAGCACTATCTTCCTCGTGTGCAAAGTGCCTTAAACTCAGCCTGCCTGCCTTCCTCCTGGCCCCTCCTGAGCCATAGAGGACTCTCTCTCTCTCTCTGGGACAGACACCTGACTCTGCTCTGAGACTGAAAGCTACCCTTGAAGTGCTCTCTCCCAACCCAAAGTTCCAGCCCCTGCTGGGAGATACCCAACCCTCCTGCATCTTGATATGCCATCTCTTTTCTTTAAGGCTTCAAGCAGTACACACAGGTCCTGACAGCCATCCCAGACAGAACTGGGCACCAAGTTTGCAGCCGATGGCCTTGCCCCAAACCGCCAGTGTTTCTGAGAGCAGCTTGAATGGCTAACTTTGCAGCTGTGAGGGCCAAGGGTGCTCCCAACACTTCGTTCACAGGGACCAAGCAGTCAGGTGTGCTGTGGCCAATGGACTCAAAGGTGCTGATGCTGGTGGCGGAGGGGAGAGGACCATGGGGTGAGGTTCTGGGGTCCTTTCTCTGGAAGCCACATTTCTGATACTGCTCCAGGAACTGCAGAGCATCTGGCCCAGGCCAGTGCCTGGTAAAGTGTATTTCTGATCCCAGAGGTGCCTGCCAGATCAGTGTGAAGTGGACCCATACCTACTGCCCTCTGGATCGAGTAACATACAAAGACAAGTACCACAGTAATTTTGATTTTTTTTAACCTCTGAGGGATACTTTGAAATGGCTTGTTTTCTTTTGCCATCTTTCTTATTTCCACTTTCTGAGAGTCAGATGGAGCCCCATCTGAGTACTCCACCCACACTGCTCCTAACCTTACACCCATGGAGCAGGCACCCAGTACCAGCCTGTGCCTTAAGAGTCAATCAAGCAGTAAGAGTAGCTCCCCTGGAGGGGAGGGGAGGAAAGCCCCCGCCCCAAACTAGAACTCCAATTTCTTAGCTGTTGAGCCTCAGAAGACCAGGAGCTCACATCCTGTGATGCTTATAAGCCCCACCCTGATCCCAAACCTCCTTCCTTCTCGTCCCAACTTGTCCTTCTTATGCCAGATGGAGAAGGAAGCAGGGTGTGCCTCAAGTTTACCAAACTGCTCTTTTTGCTTTCTACAAGACTAATATTGAGGGGCCCTTGAATTTCTCATTCTTGTATATTTTTCTTGTCTGGTTTCATTTTGGTGGAGCATATGTCCTTAATTAAAAGGTGGCTTGTTTACTATCTGTACACTTGGAACACTGACTAGATGCAGAAGGCGGTTATACTGACCGTTGGAACCAAGTCCTTGGGGCTTGGAGGACCTTGCTTATATGAAGAAATGCATAGGGTTGTGGAGTACACTGACATGAGGTGGCTGCATGTTGACCCACACTGGATCAAAGACACCTTCTCAGGTTCAAGATGCCTGTCCATCCAGAGCCAGGTAGGTTTGTTTCAGTGTCTTATCTGCCATTACCAAGGTCCCATCAGCATGTTCAGGCTGTGAATGTGAGCAGGGGTTGGAAAGTTCAGGGTAGGGCATGAAGCAGGGGTGGTGAAGACCTTACTCTGTAGACTGAAACATCTCTAAAGTCCTGTGCCCTAGAGTCAGGCTTGCAGCCTTGTCAAGCTCATAGCTCACCTACTGGCGTCTCTTTTTCTTTTTTTAATAAAATGTGCTATTGGGCGGGACACAGTAATGTATCTGTAATGTCAGCTATGTAGGAGGCTGAGGCAGGAAGATCATGGCCAGCTTGAACAACACAGCAACACTGTCTCGGGGGAAGGTAGGGACGTGGCTCACCAAGAGAATGCTTGCCAAGTGTACAGGCTTGAGGCCCTGGGTTCAACAGCACCAGGGGGAAAAAGAGTGTTAATGGGTGCTACACTTTAAAAACAGATTTTTAAATTCTGGACTTTTTCTTTAGGACAGAGTGCTATGACTTATACCAAGGACCCTGAGCATGTTAGATAAGTGCTCTACCACTGACCAACATCTCCAACCTTCTGGGCTTTTCTTTACATATTCTGATTGGCAGTGATAGACAAGCCCCTGAGTGGCATCTGCCTAGAGTTCCCAGCTCACCATCTAGTCAGCCTGCCCCTGTAAACATCTGGGTTTTCCCATAAGGCCGAGTGCCTATGAAGCTCCTTTCAAGTGGGAACTGAAGCTAGGCTACACAAGAGGCAGGTGAGGGTTTCACAGTGACATAAGAAAATACTTTGCAGACTTCCCACAACTGCAGTGAAAGTGCTTCCAGGCATTTCCACAGATGTGGTCACCGCACACCACAGTGAGGCTTCTATGGTACCAACAGAAATATGTTTTCCAAGCAAGTAGGCCTAGGAGGAGTTGTGCTTTTTCCCAGAACAGCATGGGTCAGGCTAATCGTCCTTAAATCCAAAGCACTTGTTTCATTCCACCCTCCAAGACACCTGCCCACCATCTTGGCAGAAACCAGTAGTAAATTCCAGTATTTATTGGGCATAAGTGTTGAGCATGGGGTAGCATCATACTGCCCCATTTCCATAGTAACCAATTGGCTTAGTCACATGCTACAAGTTGCTGCTTCCAGGTGTGTGAATTAGTTAAGCTAAATTCAAAAGGAGAATTGGCTTTTCCAAACAGTAAGATAAAAACACTTTGTATCAAAGTTGTGACTTAAAAAATACAAAAGCTAAACTCACAGGTGTAGAGAAAAAAATGGCAATCCTGAGAGCTGCCCTGAAATGTCAGTCTTGAAACTTGTATAAATTGTTTAAACAGGCAGCTCCTGGAGAGGCCAGCATCCATTAGGGAAATGAAGGTAGTGGGAGCCTGCCCTCTTCCATCCAGGTGGCCTTCATACAGTCTCTGGCATATGTGGGTCCAGCCCCAGGCTGGGCCCCGTGATGGGGAAGCATGGAGAGAGGCACTGAGGAAGGACAGGGCCAAGCCCTTCAGTCAGAGTAAATGGGGAATCATGGCCCTACCTGGCATTTCCAAGCTTTGGCAGCTCTCAGGTGTTTCCTGACTGCTCAGCCCCTGCTGTGGCCAAGTAGTGGGTCTCAGGCCGAGCCTATGGGAACTTCAGACTGGATACTACTCCAAGCCCTAATTTCCAGTCCTCAGCATCCGAGAGAGAGCTGGTCCCATGGCCTCAGCCTGAGGGTTGAGGGGTTGGAAGGTTGGCTTGGGCCTTGGGATCAGCTGTTACCTCTCAGAGCTGGGACCCAGCACACAGCAGAAGCCTGAACAAGATACAGACAGAGCGTGGATGTGTTGTCACTATATAAAAAGGTTGGTGGGTACAAGTCAAGACTGGCTGACTGCTAAGACAGCATGGACTGCTGTACGGCCTTCTGCAGAGACTGCCGGGTCACCAGCAAGCGCACCACCTCCTCCGAGCGTTTGGTGAGCCGCTTCCGAGCCTGGTCATGCGTGACCATGGTCATGTCCCAGCCATTCACCTGTTCCAAGGAGAGAACACAGGCTACTTCAGCTCTTTGCCCTACATAACAGTGGTTTTCAACTTGTGGGTTGCAACACCTTTGAGGGTTGAACAACCTTTTCACAGGGATTGCCAAAGAGTATAATATATATCAGATATTTACATTACGATTCATAACAGTAGCGAAATTACAGTTACAAAGTAGCAACGAAGATAATTTTATGGCTGGGGGTCACTACAACATGATGAACTGTATTAAAGGGTCACAGCATTAGGAAGGGTGAGAATCACTGCTCTAGAATCTGGAAACAGGGTTTTGAGGGGCCTAGGCTACCCAAGCAGGCCCCAAGCTAATATCCCCTAACATAGAGATGCCCAGGAGTCTATCTAGCGGCATTCTTAGGGGCAATAACAGCATGGCTTCAGAAACCCATTTCGATGAGTTGCCCCTCTGGGAAGCTAGGTTAGCCCCCAACCCCAAGTGCTTCAGCCCTTCTCACACAAACCTTGTTTTCTACCTCTGGAACAACCATACCTGCATGATCTTGTCTCCAATCTGCAGCCCAGCAATTTCAGCAGGGCCTCCCTCAGACACTCGTGTGACGTAAATGCCCTGGAAAGAAGCAACCCAGGTAAAGCCCTGTGGTCACTGGATTGGCCCTTTACCACGCAGCATGACATGCTCTCAGCAATGCCTCTGTCCCTGTGCCCGCCTTTCCCACCAATACATTCTGCTGGCACGGACTGTGCCATGACAGCTGAGGCCACCACCTGCTCCTCCAGGCTGTCTCTCAGCATGCCTTCCACTTAATCCCACCAGATCATTTAGGATTGTCAAGGAAAAACAGTCTGCTCTTTCCACACAGGCCCAGAAAGAAAAATCTGCCGCCTCAGGCTTCTGTGCCCCATGTGGAGGTCTGGGACCCTAGTCTCTCACCTTGTCTGTTTTATCTTCCGAGAAGGGATTCTGGGAAGGGTCTTGGTCGATCCCACCTCCAATACTGAAGCCCAGGATTAAGTTCTCACCTTGACGCAACTTATGAATTTCCACTCTTTGCTGGTAAAAGAAAAAGCAAGTTGTGTGTAAGGAGCGGGGGAGATCTGATCTCTGTGCCCAGTAGCAACCTCAGGCTGCTGGGTCAGCTTAGAACTATGCCAAGGGGTTAGAGATGAAGGCCCGCTGCCGAAATCCAACAGGACACCTGCCAGGAGGTTGGTGGTTGGGTCTCAACCCCTACACACAGCCCTTTGCCTGCAACTTTCCCCACCCATTTCCCATCCTTGATCAATAATGTATTCAGGACCTATACTGGCCCAAGGAACAAAGGGTACTGTGGCTGCTGTAAGAAAGATGCCCATCTTTCTGGAGAGGGATCCCCCAGACAGGAAAGCCCTGAGAGCGCAGATGCCCGCTGAGGCAGCCCTACAGAGATTAGGAAAGCCTGGAGGCGCATGGGAGAAGCAGGGAAGAAACCTGCACAGAAGAGAAGAGGAGGCCTTCCTGGTCAAGGAGACTGGTGTGTACGGCACAGGATCTGCAGGTGAGATGGATAAAGGATGAGACTGGGGTGTAGGCCTAGTTGTATCATCTCCCCAGTCCTTAGGTCCTGTTCTTATGCTGTGTGAGAGACACTATTCTAGGGCTTTCTCAGCATGCTCTAGGGTTGGGGTCTCCAACTGGGCAGGCGCCTTTGAAAGCCCTCAGAAAGCATCCTCCAGCTACCTACCAGAAGTTACCCCCAAAGTTGAGAATTTTAACACAAAGAAGTAGGGGTGGCTTTCTGAACTTGGGAAGGCTTCAACAAAAGAAGGATTATTTGCACCCAGCCTTGAGAAATGACAGTGCACCACCTGACCTTGATCTTGAACTTACTGGAACTCAAAAAGGAGGTAGGAGTAGGGCAAGGCACTGATGCTCGGATGATCACTGGAGTGGTAGGTGGGGGAATGGATTTCTCATGGGTAGGGTATGGAGGCCTGAAGACAGGAGCTACTTATAAGCGCTGATCCCCAGACAAGCTACTTATAAGCTAGGATGATCACTGGAGTGGTAGGTAGGGGAATGGATTTCTCATGGGTAGGGTATGGAGGCCTGAAGACAGGAACTACTTATAAGCGCTGATCCCAGACAAGGCCTGATCATATGCAAGTGGAGCAGTGCACCCTGTCATCTGTCCAAATCAGCAGCTCTCAACCTGTGGATCGTGATCCCGTTGGGGCAACCAAGCCTTTCGAGGTCACCTAGACCATCAGAAAACACAGGTATTTATATTACAATTCATAACAGTAGCAAAATTATAGTTATGAAGTTGCAAGGAAAATAATTTTATGATTGGGGGGTCACCACATCATGAGGAACTGTATTAAAGGGTTGCAGCATTAGGAAGGACAACCATCACTACATTGGGGACCCAGGTAGAGTGCAATGTCAGTAGTTGGGAGTGTCGGGAGCCATCTGCACAGGTTTCCAGAAGACAGATCTCTGGGGCCAGAGTTCAGGGGAGGATGTTAACTATACTTAAGAGGGTAAGGCTGGGAGGAAAGCATCTCCACCCCATGAGCAATCCAGGACTCAGGAAAGAGGCCAGATCTGCCTGCCTATGCTCAGGCATGCACCTGGCGTCAGGATTGGAGGACTGAGGACTTACAGCTTTGAGAAGGACTCTGACTGGCCTGACAAGAGGGAAGCGGAAGAAGAAACATGATGCCTAAGGCCCATTCGCCTGGAGCTTCCTGCCCCAAGGTGTAAGCGCCTCCAGACCTATCTCCACACATGCCTCCCTTCACACGCACCAGCAAGGTCTAAAAGGAGACAAAGCCCTGTGGTCGACTTAAGGGAGAAGCTGGGCGGTGAACTGGCTCTCCCTGGGTCCTCAACGAACCCTCTCTTTCCCAGATACGGTCAAACCTGGACTCTTTTCTGGAGCAGCTAGGGAGAGATCCTAGAAAAACCAGGAAGCTGTCCACTGCTAGCCCAGGCCTGGGCTGGGGCTCTAACCCACCCTCCTATGCCCCTTCACCAGTGGCGTCCTTGCCCCCACTGTCTGGACTTTGGGAGCTCTCCAGCACACTGCCTAAGCATGGCCCGTCCCTGGAGTTCCTGAGTTAGGACTGTGGGCCAAAAGAACCTATTAGTTCACACCTGTAACTCCAACACCTGGAAGGCTAAAGCAGGAGTGCTGCCAGAAGTTCAAGGCCAGCTAGGGCTTAAGAGTGAGGCCCTGACTGGGGAGAGATCCAGGTCCTTCCAGAAAGCTCCCTTTATGGCTGGGCATAAAGACTTTTCTTGAAGGTAGTTTTCAGCACACCCACCTCTGCCTCAGGGTTGGGCTGCAGGGTCCATCAGACTCTGACCTTGGTGTTTAGAGCTACACCCCGCCCCCTTTTCCTTTTGCCTATTCAAATACAACTGATGCACAAGACAAACCCCCGAAGGCGACCCTGGAAAGATCTAGAACATCAAGTGTCAAGCACAGGAACACGCACTTTGAACCAAGGGGCTGAGTATCCTGAAAAGTTCAGGAAATCAAGTTTAGCTCTCGAGGTGTCGGTCCCCAGAGCTAGGCCGATGAGAAGGGGCTGCTAGGACAAACTCTCGCCAGTCCCACCCCCTAAATCTACGGGGCGGCGGCGGCGGCGTGCCGGCTGGAGCAGAGGAAACGCTTCCTCATTCCAGAGGCTGAGACTCACTCACGGACGTCGGCGCCCGCCCCCCGCGGCCGCCCAGCTGGGGACACGGAGGCCCAGGGCAGGGGAGTTTTCTAACACTCCCACGGAGCAGCCTTTCTCCTCCATCCTCCCAGTGCCCTGGATCTGACCTCTGTTCTGGGTTTCTGGAGGCTCTTAGGTCCCAGCCACCTCTCCGGGTCAGAGAAGGCTGCAGCACTGCTAAACAGAAACGGCAACTGGAGCTCTGGCCACCGGAATGCATGCAAGAGCCCCGGGTTGTATGCTTTCTCCGCCCGTCTAGATGTCAGTTTGCCGCTCTGCGAAATGGGGTGAGCCAAGAGGAGAAGGAGCTCGCACGAGCGCACTCACCACTACGGCGGTGACAGGCTGGCCCGGGATGTAGGACATTTCGACGACAGCGCCCGGTGAGACCCGCAGCTAGAATGCCCGCGGCCGCGCCCTCCCTGGTTAACAAAGGGCAGCCCTGCTCGGCCCGCCCCCTCATGAATACTTAACAAGGCTCCAGCCAATCATCAGCTGGAGCGCTGTTCGGCTTTCAGGAGTCCCAGGACTTGCGTGCTGAAGTGGGGCGGGAGGGGAGCGCGCCCGAGGCGCTAGCGTGGGAGGCGGGGCGGGGTCTGTGCGCCTGCGCAACCTGAGCCCTCCCAGCAGCCTCCAGCACAAACAAGATGGCGTCGCGGAACGTTCCGCTTTCTCCGGTCTGAGGGCACACGAGGGACTGTGCTGCTGTGTTCCAGGTAACTCGGCGAGCCTTTGGGGGCGTGTGCGGATGTGCCGCAGCCCCAGGCCGGCTCGAGCCTCAGCCTCGGCGTCCCGTGGAGGTCAGAGGCCCAGGCGCGCTGTCGGAGGTCCCCAGGGGAAGAAGGCGCCGTGCGCCCAAGTCGCCGGGCTTCGGGCGCCACTTGTAACTTGGTTTTCTCCGCAGTTCGGCGTTGAGTCCGCGAGAAGGCAGAAGCGGAGCCCCGGCGGGTGCGATGGCCGCGGTGGTGGCCAAACGGGAAGGGCCGCCGTTCATCAGCGAAGCAGCCGTACGAGGCAACGCCGCGGTCCTTGACTACTGCCGGACCTCAGTGTCAGCGCTGTCGGGGGCCACAGCCGGCATCCTCGGCCTCACCGGCCTCTACGGCTTCATCTTCTACCTGCTCGCCTCCGTCCTGCTCTCCCTGCTGCTGATTCTCAAAGCGGGAAGGAGGTGGAACAAATATTTTAAGTCACGAAGACCTCTCTTTACAGGAGGCCTCGTCGGAGGCCTCTTCACCTACGTCCTCTTCTGGACGTTCCTCTACGGCATGGTGCACGTCTACTGAAATGAGGGCAGGGGTGACCTAAAAAAAAAAAAAAAAGATTGGCAGGACTCTTGCCAGCAGTTAACACCGTGTAGACTTACCTAGTTTTTAAATTGTTTGAACTCGCTGCTTGTTCTGTGCTGTTATAATTTATATCTGAAGACGGAGAGCCTGTAATATTCTTCAGATTAAATGAAGTGTGACACCTTGTCGAGTTCTTTCCTACACTGATGCTTAGCCACGCTTTGAAGTCGCCAAGACTTGCTCCCTGGAGAGCAAGCTGTAGGCCATAGCCTGTAATTTTCTTGGATTTACACCTAGTAGATCCAGAGGTACCCCTAGGGCTTACGTGAGAGAACTTAACGTTAACATCTTAAGGACTGATGACGGTTCGCGTTACTTTACTAAGCATTCTCTATGTGCAGGCAATGTGCTCTGTACTTTTTGCATCGGGTATGTTTTAATTTTAGCAGTACTCAATGGAGACGTTACTGTTAAACTTCTGCTGAGGCCCAGAGAGGTTAGATGTCTGCCTGGGGTGGCTCATCTGGGAAGAGGCAGAGCCAGAATGCAGTTACCGTCGGTTTGCCTGTTCCATATTAGATGAAAGTACGTTTCTAGCATGGCTTCCCACCGACCACTGTTGTCAGGTATGAATGAAATCAGCTAAGTCCCAGTTATCTGGTCACAGCTAGTTATCTTTCCTATAAGAAATTACATATGTTAGGTCGCAGCAAGTGCCTGGCCCACTTGACTTTTTATGTTGACTGACGGGAAGAGTCAAACTCTGTGCCACGAGTACTTGTCCCTTGTAGGGTGAAACCCTGTTCAGATTTGAAAGATACTGTGATTAGGGACTGTGAGTCCCCAACTCAGGCACCTAGAGCAAGGGCTTATGATGGCCTCCCCACTGAGAGGAAACGGATGGAAATAGGGAGGGCAAAAGGCATCTGTGACAGGAACAGCAGTTTGTGATTTCATGTCTAATTCCCAGGTCACATTGATAGCACCCAAAATATCAGTTGGCCCACATGATTCTCCCAAAGGTATGAAATAACTTCTAGGACGATCCTGGATGACCTAGTTTGGACTAGGGACTGACATACACAATTCATCAGATCCTGAAAGGTCAGAATAGAAAGGGGCTCTTGGGCTAGGGCTGTAGCCTATAAACCAAGCAGTGCCCAGAAAGGAAAAGTGTCTCCCCAAAGTTTAAGAGTTCAAGTTCCTGAATTAGAAGCCTTATTCCGCCTGGGGAGGCTGTGAAGGGAGGATCCGGAATTTGGGCATGGGCCACAGAGGAAAACCTCGGAGGTTTTGGTTTTTTGGTTTTTAATTTAAGCAACTGGTTTCCATAAGATGGATGAGCTACCTTATACCAAGGTTATGCAGAAGGCAAGAAGTTGGGGGTTGGGGGGCACAAGGCAATTTTGGCAAATGGGCATTCTGTGAGATGTTGTAATGTGATTCCTGGCCATTGTAAGTTTGGGGCCTCCTAAAATGATCCAGTGGAGGCCAGTAAAAGAACACTTCACACTGTTGGTGTAGTAACAACCTTCCTGGTTGTTTTCCACATCAAAGCACCTGGGATTCCCTTCCTTCCCTGTCCCCTAGGCAGGTGGCTCCTAACCTTTCAGATTTAAACTCACTGCCTTGAGTACACTTACTCCAGCTGTTCCAGGTTGAAACTTCCCCAGCACCCTATTTAGTTCATGATGACAGGTGTGACCACCCACCAGACTGGAAGCATGTGAGTGCAGGGGCCATGTGTGTTGCTCACCAGTGTCAGGCTTTTGTCCAACACCTGACAAGAACAGGACGCAGAACATGAACTCAGTACTTACTGACAATAACTAGTAAAAGGCATCTTTATTCTGATACAAAATGAATTGTCTGACTGTCCCCAAGCCATTTCAAAACAGGAAGAGCCAGGCCAAGCTGTATACCGCCATGACCCTTGGCGCTCTTGTTTGCTCCTGAATGTGAAAGTTAACAAGTCAGTTGCCTAAGTGGATCACCCAGGCTTTCACTTTCAGAAAGCAGAATGGCTTGGTGACAATCCCCCAGACAACCAAAGGTGCAGGAACTGCTTCCCTTGGAAGAGGTGCTGCTCTGGACAGCACTCCCTTCTGCCCCAGTGGCAACAACTCTTCCTTTTCAACCCATTTTTTTAACTTATATTTTGTTTTTCCAGTCTCTCCACATAGCCCTGACTGTCCTGGAGCTCACTATGTAGACCAGGCTGGCCTCAACTCAGAGATCCGCCTGCTCTGCCCCTTCAGTGCTAGGATTAAAGGTGTGTTCTGCTTGCATGGATGCCTGCACCAGTTCATGCTTAGTACACACCGAAGCCAAAACAGAGTGTCTGATTCCCTTGGAGCTAGAATTACAGGGGGTTGTGAGCCATCAAGTGAATACTGGGAATTGAACCTGTGTTTTCTCAAAGGACAGCCAGTGCTCTTAACACTGAGACCTCACTGTTGCCCAGGTTGACATTTCTGAGCTCAGGTAACCCACCCCCATATGCTGGGTCTACAGGTAGGCAGTGCTCTGCTACCAGGCCCCTTCTGATCACCACCTTCAAGGATCCAACAGAAGGATGCTCTCTGTCCCTGGCATGTGCTGGGGGTGCTTTCTAGGGAGGAACTCACAGCATCAAGCACCTGGACAGCGCCTGGGACTCAGGTCAAGGCAGAACTTGACCCTTGACAGTGGTCTACAGATAAAGAGCTCTGGATTTCTCACCTTGGGTTTCTCCAGATACTCCTCCATAAAATGGGGGAGAGTGAAGCCGCTAGCTCCCCAGCCCTGCATTTAAATGTGTCCCAAGTCTGTTTCTGACAGGAAGTTCAGTCCTACAAGAATAGATCATTTCCTGAGGGAGCGTCCATCCAGGTGGCCAGATGGATCCTCAGAAAAATAAAGGAGGGTGAAAGAAAGGGATGTCTTTGTTTTTTCAGTTTTCAAGACGGGTTTCTCTGTGTACCTTTGTAGACCAGGATGGCCAGGAACTCAGATCTGCCTGCCTCTGCCTCCTGAGTGCTGAGATTAGAGGCGTGTGCCACCACCCAGCTTTTTGTTTTTTGAGACAGGGTTTCTCTGTATAACAGCCCTACCTGTCCTGGAACTCGCTCTGTAGACCAGGCTGGCCTCAAATTCATAGAGATCCACCTGCCTCTACCTCCCAAGTGCTAGAATTAAAGGTGTGCGCCACCAATGCCCAGCAGAAAGGGACATCCAGGAAGAAAAAAAAAAAAGGGTCTCATTATATAACCTTCCTAGCATAAAACTAGCTCCATTGAGCTGGTTGACCTCAAACTCACCCAGCTGCCTCTGCCTCCCAAGGGCTGGGATTAAAGTTGTTCACCACCATATCTGCCTACTTCTATGATTGTGAATCTTTAAATTTTGGATTAGATTAGGTATTATCAGTCAAAATGTTTGAATTTAAATACACCGAGCATATTGCTGTCTCCCAAGTGAAGATGGAAGCCAGGTATAATGGCACACACCTTTAGTCGCAGCACACAAGAGGCCATCCTGGTCTACACAGAGTTTCAGGATAGCCAGGACTACACAGAGAGCCTCCTGTCTAAAACAAAACAAAACAAACAAACAAAAAAAAAAACAGGATGGGGGATGGGAGAGGGACCCCCTTGGCCTCAGGGCAGTGTGTGTGTGTGTGTGTGTGTGTGTAAATCTGACCTGGCACTCTATCAGCCACCCCAGCTGGCATTAATAATGTGCTTGCAAATCACTTTGAGATCTCGGAGAACCTCTTATGTGGGTAGGATTAGGGAGAGGCTTGCAACCTTACATTTTTGACAGGCTCTCTGGGGAGTGGGTGCTGGTCCATGGACCCCACTCTGAGCTCCATGGAATGAAATGCAGTGGGGAAGGGACAACTTTTCAGGGAAAGTCATCCTTTATCTCATTTAGCACTTCAAGGCTAAGCTTCTGAGAGCAGGAATCAGGAACTCCCCCCAGCTCCCCCAGCTCCCAAACAACAAGAGCTAAACCACACAGGCAAGTCCGTCTCTCACCTGGGCAAGTCAGTTTCCCAGAGCTGCAGATGGGGGCTAGAATGGGCTAGTGGTTTACCCGCCTTTCCTCCGGAATCTTACCTAGGAGTCCCTGGAGTTTGCTCTCCCCTTAAGTCTTTTCCAGGTGCCTCCTTAGCCACCTTTAAATTTCACATCTGGGGGTGGGGCTACATGTCCCCTGGATGGACTCAAATGACTTTTCTGAACAAGCATCCTTCTCTGCAGAGACTTGTCAGGAGTCTTGGCTAGAGACTGGAGGCCAGGCTGTCTGGGCTGCCTGACGTCTCTGAAGAGAGTTATGTGTGTGCCCCCAACCCTGGGGCCAGGTCAGCATCTCATCTCGTTCAAGCCTCTCAGGACTAAAGTGCAGCATGCACCCATAAATGTGTACTGCCTGTATGAATAAATGTGTGTCTCGATGAGTTCAGACACTGGCATGTAAACAGTGTCCTACCACTGAAGCCCTGGAGCCGGGCGGTGGTGGTGCACGCCTTTAATCCCAGCACTCGGGAGGCAGAGGCAGGCGGATCTCTGTGAGTTTGAGGCTGGGCTGTACAGTCTTGAAAACAATACAGAGAAACCCTGTCTCGTAAAAACAAAAAACAAACAAACAAAAAACCACTGAAGCCCTGGGCCTGCCCCTTCCCTGGGGGCCTGCCCCGGGCCTCCTTTCTGCATCTGAGCTGCTGGCCAACAGGAGACTCCCCTCCATACACACACACACACACACACACACACACACACACACACACACACACACAAACTTGCAGCAAGATCCCATCCAAGCTGGATGGGGTTGAGGAGCCTCTTCCCAGAAGCCCCATCCTGAGCAAGCACTGAGAGGTCTCAGAGCTGTGGTCTGTCCCGGCCCCATCATCTTTGAATCTGTTCTCTGCCAAGAGCTCTGGCTACATCTTCAGTCTTCACTGTTTGCAAGATCTGTGGCTGCTTCACATTCACGATGGCTTTCTCCGGGAGGCCAGACCTTTGGGTGGGGGTGCACACAGAGGGCAGAGGGGGCTGTCAGGAACTCCTGCGGGCATGGCCTTTCTGGGGCAGAGTACATGGCAGTCGCTGTCCTAGCTGCAGCTCAGACGCGTGACGATGTCCACACTGAGGACTGGGAAGCACAGTCTCCCACAGCAATAGGAGGCTGTGTTAGACAACCAAGGTGGACCTGCAGGTGAGGGGCTCAGGTGGGTGACCCGGCAGTGACAGCTCAGGGAACAGCGAGGCTTAGGATCCCTCAGTCTGGGGGTGTTCCCACCCCACAGCCCACAGCTTCCACCTGTCTTTCCTCAGTCTGTTCCATCCCAGGGAATTTCTCAGCTCACCCCACCCTGACCCAGCTCCCACCAGGAGGTTACCCCACCTTAGCAAGGAGTGAAATCTGAGGGCTGAAAGAAAGACCACCCTAGGCCCAGGAGCACCCTCTGGAGTAAATAAATCCCAAAGAGTCCTCGGCCAGCTGTCCCACAGCCCCTCACCTGGCAGGCTCGAAGAGCTGGCAGCTGTTCCTCTGCTTCACGTCACTCTGAGCCAGCTCCCAAGACTCCTCATCCTGCTGAACCCCATCTGCTGGCCTGTCCTCTGCCAGCTCCTGCTGGATCCCATTGGCCTCAAGCTCAACATTGGCTTCCTCCTCCTGACCCCTGGTTAAGACACGGCCACAGCCTTCGTGGGGCACTGACAGAATCACACTCCACCTGGGCCCCACTCTTTCCTCTAGCACAGCCGCCTGTGGCCAGGTGGGACTGTACCAGCTGGGTTCAGGAAACGTCTGTGCAACCCAGACAAATCACACAGGTCCACCCGGCATCCACAGTCCAGGTTGCTGGGGCTGAGAAAGCACATGCTGCCTGACGCAGTTCCTCATTCTGCTCCCAGTTCCTCCAAAACGCCTTCTTCAAGGGCCAGGCCAGAACCTCTTTCCCTTCCTGTCATCCCAGACCCAGCACCCTTCCATGCTGTGTTCTGTGTTCCAACGCTAAAGGAGCGTGTGCACGAGCACGTGCACACACACACACACACACACACACACACACACACACCTTCCTCCAACCCCAGGCATCTGTCTAGTACCAAGAACAAGCCAGTGTTCTCATCTTGAAGATGGAGAAACTGAGGCTCAAGGAGTCATGGGGCTTGTCTAAAATCATCCAGTAAGATGAATTCTGTAAACGTATCTTCTGCCATGCAACCTGGGGAGATGTCTTTTTCCCCAGATCCTCTGAACCAAGTCCAGTCTTGGGAAGCAGGTACACATAGCATGCCACCGACACACCCCAATCCAGGACCACCAGACGAGGCCCTAGGCAGGGGCTGAGGTACTCCTTGGGACTGGGGGAGGAAGATTAACATACCTCACTCTCTCAAACTTCTTGTCTCGGTAAAACTCGCTCTTTCTGATGAGGTAGATAAGTACCAGGTCGCAGAAGAAAGCCCCCTGCAAAAGAGTTCGAAGCTTGGACTCAGAATCTTAGCTTCATAATCTTGGAGCCTGCAACCAGGAGCAGGGCATCATCTGAACATGCAGGAACAGCCCAGAAAGCGGTGATGAACAGGAGCCCAAAGCCCCTCTGGTAGACACAGGTTAGATCTGGACATGCTGCCTGACTCCATGGATCAAGCTCCCTTCACTGCCCTGACCAGATCTAACGTGAACACACATTTGCTAAGAATCTACCGCCTGCCAGGTTTGCACTGGGGTGCCAGGAGGACATGGAGTACAGAGACCTGGGGACTCCCTTTGCTGCAGGAGACAAGTGGACTTTGATATAAAATCATCGGGAACAGGATTGGGAGGGGGTAGGAAATAGCACTCACTCGGCCTGGGGAGCTGAATTGTATTGCAAAAGGAGAAGCAGGCTTGTCATCACCAGTAAATGCCCAGGGCCTGTGGGGGAAGATGCTTCTGGTGGGGGTGAGAACCAGCATGTCTGAGAATGCTTTGGAGACACAGGTCCCAGTGCTTTGCGAGGAGGCATGACAGCAGCAGTTGTGATGCTTTGTAGAGAGCCCTGTGATCTTAACCTCTACAACAAGGATGCTACAACTGTGGTCAGGAAAAGACAGGAAGCCTGGGCAGACCCCGTTGAGGCCAGCTGGGGTGGACTATTCAATCACCCCAACACAGGTTTCAGATCAGAGCATGTTGTGTGTAATGTCTCTCTACTCCAGCAGAGGGCGACTCTGCCCACAGTTCAGGGATAGAGGTGTTGCTCCTGAAGGCAGGGGGGTCTGTTTGAGTGGAGCGAGCATGTCTTCCCCCAAACTCCAGAAATGTCCCTTGTCAATTCCTCGCTCCTACTTCTTCCCTCAGCCTCAGCACCACCTTCTGCTGCACCATTGCCTTCATTTCACAGCTGTGTCCCCAGACTTCAGACTTTACCCACATCATATGAGAGCTGCACATACACTCAGCCAGGGATCCCTAAAGATGACTGCCCGAGTCAGGAACACTCCACTTGGGGACCACTGTTTTGGTTTGGTTTGGTTTGGTTTTTTGAGACCATATTTCTCTGTGTAGCCCTGGCTGTCCTGGAACTGGCTCAGCAGACCAGGCTGGCCTCAAACTAAGAGATCCACCTACCTCTGCCTTCCTGGTGCTGGGATTAATGGTATACCACCACTGTCCATTGTTAGCAATCACTCTTAATCCCCTGTCAAGACAGGCTTCTCAGTCTCCATGCAAAATCTATCCTGGATCCTGACAGGATCCTCTAGTGAAGCTTGGGGTGCCCAGGCGGAGAACGGAAGAGGCCTCTGGAAGCCTTGGCAGGGAATGCACTGTGTTGGCATGAGCCCCCAACAAAGACTCCCACACTTAGCCTCCTCCCAAGGGTATGACAGGCATTTGCAGGGAGCCCTTCCCTGCACTCCAGCTGTCTCCTACCATGAAAGCCACTATGGGTGGCTAAACACCCACCCCAAAGGGTTATAAGACCGTCTCCCCTGTCTCTCATCCTTTCAAATGCAGGTGCTCGGATGGAGACCAATTTTGAGCAACACAGCCATGGGAAGGTCCCACTGACGCCTGGTGAACAAAGACCAGGGATTCACTTAAACACATTCCACAAGGCACTCCCAAAGCAAAGACCCTGGCCCCAAACTGACATAGCCTCATCAGTTTCAATTACTGGAACTGGAGATGGTGATTTTTAGACCCAGAATCCCAAAGGTTCCAGCCCACACCAGGACTGGAGGATGATCCATCTGCGCCACACTCCACTCAAGCTCATAGTCAGAGCTACAGTCAGTCAGTGTCCTAGGGGTGGGGGGCTGGCAGGGTGTGAAGTCACCCTTGTCCCTGTGACCTCACAGGCCCTCCTGTGCTCTGGGCTCAGCATGCTCCTCCCAGGCTGTCACCTCCCTTTCCCTAGGAAGACAGCAAGGCAGGGGAGGTACTCACAGCACCCATGAGCGCCAGCCCAGAACCTACGTTGATGACTGTAGGGATGATGCTGAATTTTCCTGCCTGTGAAGTAGAAACAGCCAGGTGAGTTAGGCAGGGAAGACAGCCGGATGCCCGGGGCACTCCAACCTCCCTGGAATGGAAAGCAGATCTGCATACCTTGCCATTAACTATCACATCGAAGCGGATGCCATAGGCTTTCATCAGGTCACGGAACTCGACCCCATTAGAGTCACGGTAATACCTGGCAAACCTGGGGAGACAGGGCCCAGGGAACTCTCGTCTGCCTTACCTCTCTGCATTGCAGCACAAAGTGGCTGCTCTGGGGAATGCTCAGCAATCCAGGGTCCTAGAGCAGCTCTAGGAGGGTACCCAGATCCACTCACTGAAGCACACACAGACAGGACTTTCCCAGCATGCTCAGTGCCAACCCCTGGACCAGGAGAACACTGGTGGACTTGACCCAGCAGAGGGTATAGAACAGAGCCACCAGGCAGCACAGGAACAGTAGTTACCTGAAGTTGTACCCGGAGGAGATGGATTCTGTGTGCTTGTTGTCCAGACGGTTGAAATAATAGTGTGGGTCACATTTAGGGGCAGCTTTATCAAGGTCACAGTCCCATTCAATATGGATTCCTATCACACCACCCTTGGCACAAGAAACAAGGTGAATGCTAGAGCTGTCTGTGGATGGGCAGCCCTTTATGAGAGCCAGACAAGATTGCCAGAGGTCAGCTAGCGGCCTGGCCTGGCCTGGCCACACTTTATACACAAATCAACATGCGCCCACGGGGTTCCTTTCAACTGTTTCTGATTGTGCCCTGGACTCAGAGAACTACCCAGCAGATGCCAAGTCAGCCCCACCCCCCACCTCCCCACCCATCCCACCCCTGCACCCCCACCACCACCCCCACTGAGTGCCTCAAAGAGCCAGGCCATTTGTCACAACTAATTCTGAAAACAGTGAGCTCGTGGGGACAAGTGACTCTGCAGGATCACCCTGGACCTAATGCCCCTCCACCTTCTCACTACAGAGCCCCGGTGCCCAGGGAGAGCTCCCTGACCACACACCACACACCACACACCTTCAGGGCTATGTCCTGGAAGTCCGCCCCTGCCCAGCGGACAATGGACCCCAGTCGGAAGATGGGACAGTAGAGGTTCTTGGAGCTGAAGTGACAGGTTTTCAGGAAATTTTTGTTGTTTGTTTCTAGCACATTGGCTCTAAGAGGAAGCCATGACAGGAGGGTGAGACCATGGCAGGAGGGCCAGACCCTGGAAACAATGACCCTCTGGCAGATGTGACCTCTTCCCAGCTTGTATCTTACTCCCCTCAAGAACAGGGACCCCCCACGCAGAGAAAAGGGCACCCCTGTTCATTCATATACACACCATGCACAGCTTGAGCGCGGCCACAGGGAGGGCCCTCAGCCCACCTCCCCATCCAGCAGCCAAGCCCCACCTACTTGGAGAAGTTGAACTTGGGGAAGCGAATGAAGTTCTTTATGAAAATGGTGAAGCCTTCAGCATCCTTCAGGAGGGGATCCCTGAAAACCAGGGCAGGGCAGCCTGAGCAGGAGACCTGCCCCTGCCCTCTATGACTCTCCTAGACCTATGGGGCAGGTAGGCCTCTGGCCTCGGGTGGGACCCACTGTGTAAGACCCAGCAGGCAACTCCTCTGGGACCACAGGCCACAGCCACTCACGTTGGCATGGACATGGTCTCCACTGGGCACCAAGCGAAGATCTCACAGGTGCCCTGAGTAGAGTTCCCCACCCGTAGACAACGACCAGTTTTCAGTCCTGCAGGGGAGGGACAGGGACAATGCCGTGAACCTTCCTGTCCAGGTTTCTTTACCCTGCTCCAGCCCCAGCCGCTCCAGGTCCTCACCATGTCCAGCTATAACGGACTCCCCAGCATGGCAGTCAGTGTCCTCAGAGCACTCGCCATCAGGGATGCCTTCGCGCTACAAAGAAAGAAAGGGATCTGCGAGGGGTCCCCTAGAGAGCTAGGTCCCATCAGAGATAGAAGAGGGTTTCTTCCCTGGCCTGAAGCTACATGCCCTTTGAAAATCTGTTCTCAGACTGGCAAAGTGACTCCGTGGGTAAAAACATCCACCATGAAAGCCTGGCAACTTGTTTAGTCCCTGGAAACCATGGTAAAAGGAGATAACCCATTCCTGAAAATTGTTCTCTGACCTCCACACACATGCCACGGCATGCACATATATGCACATGCACACATACATGCACATACGCATACAAGCAGGCACTAATCATAAATGAAAATGTAAAACTTAAAAATATTTTAAGAAAACCCATCTCTCCCCCCAAATTACATGGGCACCATGCAGTGTTTATACAGCATTTTGATACTCTTGGAGCACACCAAGATTCAGGAGGACTGCCACCACGGCTGGGGGCTTTCCAACCCCTCCCCAACACGCAAGCCAAATCAAACCTCAGCACAGATGCCCTGCCGCTGGTTAGGAGTCACGATCAGGTTGGTGACCACGAAGAAAACGTTCTCCCCCTGAGGAGCCAGACAGAGTTTGAGGAGTCTCCTCCTGGCCTCTCGGGAAGAGTCAGCCAGGTGAGAGTGGACCTCTGCACCGGGTTGGGAACAATGGGGACCACAAAACTGGTGATCATTGTCCATCTGTCTGATGAGCCTACACTTTTCAAGTGGATATCCTTTGGTGGGTAACCCCAAGCACTCTCACCCCATAATTGTATTTCAACCTCAGCCTGGTTCTACATCCGAGAACAGCTATGGACAAACTGGGGAGCTATTCCCAGGGACACTACTGTGCCAGGTCACTCTGGACCCCTGTGGTCTCAACAGACACATAGAAAACTGAGAACCAAGTCTGGTGCAGAAAATGACCCAGACAGGGCTTCTGTCTATATCCTGACCCAAAGAGACAACTAATGGAGTTGCCTGGGTACTTCCTGTGTGACCCACCCCAAGCCACACCTCACCAGCCCAGGCCCCAGGTGGTGATCTAACCTGAGATGGGATGACAAAGTCTGCTACATCCCAGAGCCGTTCCCCAAGCATAGTGGTATTGGTATAGGCCACACCCTTGACTTTGGTGACCACAGCACTCTGCAGGGAAGTGTCAATATCCTGATAACTCTTCTTTATCAGAAACACCCATCTGCAGAAATATGACCAACAGGTGGGCATCAGTCCCCGGGTTGCCCAGGCCCAGGCTGGAGTGAGAACCATAGTAAGTCTTAGGCTGGTGCAAGGGAGAGCTCGGGGTTCACCTGTCCCGTGAGCACGTGATACTGCACTCAAGACGCTAAAACGGGAATATAGACAGTTGAAGGCCATCCTGGGCTACAGGACAAGACACTATGTTGTAAACAAAGTCTGAGGCTGGAGAGTTGGCTTAGCGGCTAAGAGCACTTGTAGCTCTGGCAGAGGATCCCATCTCCATTCCAGGCACCCACTCAGTGGCTCACAACCATCTGTAACTACAGCCTCTCCTCAAGTACAGGGACCAGGCACACACGCGGACAAAACATTCATACACATGAAACAGTAACATTAGTAACTCTAAAAAAGAAAGGAATTGCCAGGTGTGTGACATGCTCCTTTAATCCCAGCACTTGGGAGGCAGAGACAGGCAGATCTCTGAGGCTGAGGCTATCAGGTGTACAGAATGAGTTCCAGGACAGCCAGATCTTCATACTAAGACCTTGTCTCAAAATACCAAAGGATACCAATCAGTGATGGTGCACGCCTTTAATCCCAGCACTCACAGAGGCAGAGACAGGTAGATCTCTGAGTTCAAGGCCAGCCTGGTCTACAAAGTGAGTTTCAGGACAATCAGGGCTACACAGAAAAACCTTGTCTTGAAAAACAAAACAAAATACCAAAGGTGGAGGAGAGAAGAAATAAAGAAATCCAAAGAGATATACTAGTAGAGGGTTCACGTAGTATGTATAAGGCCTTGGGCTTTGTACCAAAAACAAGTAAGTTAAAAGTAGTGAGTCAATTAAGCTCTATATAGAGCTATATTCCTGAAAACATCTTGGTATTGGCACAAAAATAGACAGACCAATGGAATCGAACACCCCAATATTAACCCATACACCTGATCTTTGACAAAGAAGCTAAAATTATATAATGAAAAAAAGCATCTTCCACAAATGGTGCTGGCATAACTGGATGCTGGCATGTAGAAGAATGTGCATAGATCCATGTCTATTTCCATGCACAAAACTTAAGTCCAAATGGATCAAAGACCTCAACATAAATCCAGCCACACTGAACCTTTTAGAAGAGAAAGTGGGAGATACCCTTGAATGAATTGATACAGGAGACCGCTTCCTGAACATAACTCCAGTAGCATAGACACTGACATTGACAACTGACAAATGGGACCTCCTGAAACTAAGAAGCTTCTGTAAGGCAAAGGACACAATCAACAAGACAAAAAGGCAGCCCACAGAATGGGAAAATATATTCACTAACCCCACATCTGACAGAGGGCTGATCTCCAAAATTTAAAAAGAACTCAAGAAGCAAGTCTCCAAAATACCAAAGGATCCAACTAAAAAGTGGGGTACAGAACTAAATAGAGAATTCTCAATAGAGGAGTCTAAAATGGCTGAGAGACACTTAAGAAAGTTCTCAACCTCCCTAGCCATCAGGGAAATGTAAATCAAAACAACTCTGAGATACCATCTTACTCCTGTCAGAATGGCTAAACAGTTTATGCTGGAGAGGATGTGGAGAAAGGGGAACACTCCTCCACTGCTGGTGGGAATGCCAACTTGTGCAGCCACTTTGGAAATCATTGTGGAGCTTCCTCAGGAAAATGGAAATCAGTCTACCACAAGACCCAGCAAAATTCCACTCTTAGGCATACACCCAAAAGACACACATTCATACAACAAGGACGTCTGTTCCACTATATTCATAGCAACATTATTTGTAATAGCCAGAATCTGGAAGCAACCTAGATGCCTCTCAACCGAAGAGTGGATAGAGAAAATGTGGTACATTTACACAATGGAGTGTACTATTCAGTGGGAAAAAAAACCAATGGAATCTTGAAATTTGCAGGCAAATGGACGGCACTAGAAGAAACCATCCTAAGTGAGGTAACCCAGCCACAAAAAGACAAACATGGCATGTACTCATATATGGATTTTAGACATGGATCAGGGGAGTGCCAGCCTACAATCCCATGGCCAGAGAGTCTGGGAAACAGAACCTTCATCCAGTGATGGATAGAAGCAGAGGCAGACACTCACAGCTAAACACTGAACTGAACTCCTGGAACCCAGTGACAGAGAGGGAGGAGTGATGAGCAAACGGATCAAGATTGGGCTTGTTTAACCCATAGAAACAGCTGATCTGAATAAGGAGGAGTTCTTGGACCCCAGACTGGTAGCTGGGAGGCCAGCATGGGACTGATCCAGACCCCCTGAATGTGGGTGTCAGTGAGGAGGCCCAGGCAATCTACGGGGCCTTGGGTAGTAGATCAGTATTTATCCCAGGCATACAAGTGGACTTTGGATGCCCATCCCACAATGAGGGATGTTCTTTCAGCCTGGACTCTTGGGGGAGAGCCTAGGTCCTGCCCTGAATGAAATGACAGACTCTGGAGATTTCCCCCATGGAGGGCTTCACCCCCCCTGCGAAACGGAGTAAGGATTGGGTGGGGGACTGGGGGGCCTGGTGGGGGAGGGGGGAGGAGGGGAAGGAGAGGGAACTGGGATTGAAAATTAAGAAAAAGTGAGTCAAGTTGTTGAGTACAGCCTTAATCCTTGAGAGGCAGGCAAATCTCAGTGAGTTACAGGCCAGTGTGGTCTACAAAGGAGTTTCAGGACAGCCAGGCAGGACTGTTGTACAGAGAAACCATGTCTTAAGAAACCAAATAAATGAGTAAACAAATAGATAAATGAAATCTCATATTCTTTTATACTAAGAACATAAGCGGGGCTGGGCGTTGGTGGTGTATGCCTTTAATCCCAGCACTTGGGAAGCAGAGGCAGGTGGATCTCTGTGAGTTTGAGACCAGCCTGGTCTACCGAGCGAGTTCCAAGACAGGCTCCAAAACAATACAGAGAAACCCTGTCTCGAAAAACCAAAAAAAAAAAGATAGGTGTGTGCCCTCCATCACACCTTTCTAAAGAGATAAATATGCATAAACTGTATGTGTGCTCATGAGTTCCAGTATTCTTGGAAGTCAGAAGAGGGAATCAGATTCTCTGGAGCCAGGGTTACAGAGACTTGTAGGTCAATCAGCCAGGAACAAAACTCCTAAAAGAACAGCAAACACTCTTAACCACCCAGACATTGCTCTAGCCCCTAAAAAGATATACTTTTAAAATGAAATGGCTCAACCAGGCAGTGGTGGCACATGCCTTTAGTCCCAGCACTCGGGAGGCAGAGGCAGTCAGATCTCTGTGAGTTCAAGACCAGCCTGGTCTATAGAGCTAGTTCCAGGACTGTTAGGGCTGCTACACAGAGAAATCTTGTCTTGAGAAAAAATAAAATAAAAAGATGGCCCTTGTCAAATGCTAAGCACAGAGCAAAAGTTCCATGCACAGAACCACCAACTTATTGCTATCACGTAGGTATTGCTATCATCTGGGTGAAGCTGAGGAAACCTGTAAAAAGAGGAAGAAGCCAGCACCTTGAGTCATGCAGTGAGTGACATGGCATGCAGACTCTCTCCAGGGAACCAGGGAAGTGTCAACCAACATGTGTCCACTTCCTCATTTCTGGGGCAGAAGTAAGGGAACCTAGACCCTAAGCTGTCACATTTTCAAGGAACCCTGAGAAAGCTGTGATTCTTAAGCAAGTCTTCCATTCTAGCAGAGAAATGTCAGGCTTTGTCTAATCCAAAACAGTAAGCAAATATTCAACATTCATTTATTCATTTCATACCTATTCCCAAGTGAAGTGACACCAGTCCCTCCCATCACAGCATCCCCAGAGTTCAGGGAGATAGAAATAGACACTGAACGAATGACCATCCTAATTGACTATGGGAATGCCAGGGAGGGACAGAGAAGAGGTGTCATTGGAGCACTCAAACCTGGACAAAGAGTGGTGCTATGAACTAGGGAAGGAAGATCTGTGGTGGCTCAGGAAAGGCAGTACAAGGGCCTGAGGTAGGACACTGCCAAGTGCCTTGGTGCTAAAATCCAGGAAATGCTAAAAAAAATCAGCTATTATCCACGCCTTTAATCCCAGCACTGGGGGGGGGGGGAAGAGGCAGGCAGATCTCTTAGTTTGAGGACAGCCTTCTCTACAGAGCAGTTCTGGGACAGCCAGGGCTACACAGAGAAACCCTGTCTCCAAAAATAAACCAAAACGGGGGGGAGAGGATGCAGCCATTAGTAGGCAGCAAGGCTAAGACTGCCCTCCCAGGAACAATAATTGCACACCATTTAATGAGGAAAAGAGAGTGAACTGCCACTGTTCTCAGTGACAGCCTCTCTCCACCTGTGCCCTTCTCTCTTCCTAGGAGCAAAGGAAGGCTTGGACCAAAGTCTATCAGCGGAGCCTCCATCAAGCTGCCCCTGGGCTGGTGAGCCTACATCCTGCTAGATTAGATGGCAACAGGGGGGCAGTAGAGCAGCTGGACACTGGAAAGACTGCCCTGCCCGTGTTTCCCGTGAGCTAACCCTGAGTTCCAGAACATGCCAGTGGGATGAGCTGGCCCAACCAAAAGTAAGCCAGTGTGATGCTTCTGCTTATAAATAACCTGCTGGGTGCTGGGGCCAGCTGTCAGGCCAGAGCCCAGGAAGGCCTCTGGGGGCAGCTGAGCCCAGAGTCCTGGCATAGCTACCTCCTGGCCATGACTGTAACACCAGCGCTCCAGTTCCGGGAGAAGAGGCTCCCTACAAATAGCTTCAAACCGAGGTACCTCAGTTGCCCCCTCCCACGTTTCACACGTATCCACTTTTCACCTTCCCACCCTTATATTCAAGGGTTCATAAGGACCCACTCCCAAAGCCCCTGTATCTACACCTTCCCCTCCCCATCCCCCTGAAAAAGTGCCGGAGGACTCACATGAGCAAGTACAACAGGATGGTGAGCTGCAGCACCCGGTAGAGTAGCCCCACCTTCTTGCTCTTGGCAACCACGAACTTTGCGGTCTTGTAGTCGAACAGCGACAGGACGAACCCCTTCCAGGCTGCCTGACCCATGCCTCCGGCTCTCTGGGCCCGCCGCTGCCTCCCGCCGCGCCGCCGCCAACCGAGCACTCCGTGTGTGCGCTGCCGCAGTCCCGAACCGATGCGCGGCTCCAAAGGGCGTGAGCCGGAGGGCCGGCGCGCAGACCGGGGAGCGAGCACCGGGTGGCCAGGAGGACCCCGCCGCCGCAGGGAGCCGGACTGCGGCAAGCGCCCAGCGCGGGGTGCGGCCACTGACACGGTGACACCACCAGGCTGTGCCTCCGGCCACTGGCCTGCAAGGACACGCGCACCGAGTGCGGAGACGAGGAAGGAGGGAAGGTGCTTCCCAAGGAGTCTCTCCCGCCCCTACCTTCTCCCACGGGACTTGCTCTAGGGGAGATGGGTGGGGAAACAGAGGCAGTATCCGGGAGGGACCCAGAGCGCAGGAAGTGTAGGAAGAGGGGTAGAGACAGTCACTAGTAATGACTGGTTTCCCGATTGTCCTGGCCTCGCTGCTCACGCTGTCAGACAGGCTTGTATTCCTAGCCGCCTGTGTCTGCTGTAATCAAGGGGACGATTTCAGGGTCTGAACCCTACAAGTTTCTGGAGTCAGGTACCAGCGATCCCAGTCAGGTGCGGTGGGATAGGAAGAGTTGGGGCACTAAGGCTTGGAACCCTAAAATATGCCTAGAGACAGAATAGGAAAAGATGGGTTCAATGCCATCTTCTGAGGCTGAGCCCAACTGGGAGAAGAGGTCTCTGGAGCTGAGCTTTGGAACTGGTGTGGACTGCAGAAAGCTGTCTGTGGTGAAGGGATGTATGATAAGACGCTTCCTGTAGCATGGGTCTATATGCAGTGAGGGGCTGTGTGGTGAGAAATTACTGGAATGTGTGTGTAATGTGGGGCTTGCGTGGTGAGGGGCTGTGTGGTGGTGGGCTGTGTGTGTACTGAGAGGTTGGGTGTGGTGAGGGTCTATGTGCCAAGGCTGAGGGATGGGGGATTATGCACACTGTCTTCTGCACCTGTGTCTGAGCATTCAAACCGTGCTCCTCTCCTGGCCCTGGTCCTGGCTCTCTTGATCAGTGGGAAGCTCACTCTCTGAAGCTACAGATTCTAGAGGTTGGAAGACAGGCTGAAGCCCACCGGGTGTGATCTCTAAAAACAAAAGTCTCAGGGAAAGCCGGGCAGTGGTGGCGCAGAGGGAGGCAGATCTCTGAGTTCGAGGCCAGACTGGTCTACAGAATGAGTTCCAGGACAGCCAGGGCTACACAGAGAAGGCCTGTCTCAAAACACCAAAACAAAAAACAAACCAATTTACAACTGGATGGAATGACTATTAAAAGGGGGGCAGGGGGACAAACGAGTCAGGATGTAATATATAAGAGAATAAATTAAAAGAAAAAGGACAAATTCCTGGACTTTGCACTTGAATTTCCCATTCATTCTAGAAAAGGATGTAGAGATCTGCATTTTGTTTTTAAAGTGTCATTTGGAAACCATGCGTTGCTATAATGTCAAGCTCAATTCAACCAGTTCCTCAGAAAGGCCTATTTTCACATACCTAAAGTAACTCCCACCCCCACTCCAATCACCTCGTCCTGTGGCCCCAACTTAGACCTGCAGAACACTTATTTTTGTTTTTGTTTTTCGAGACAGACTTTCTCTGTGTAACCCTAGCTGTCTAGGAACTCACCATGTAGACCAAGCTGGCCTTTAACTCACAGAGATGTGCCTGCCTCTGCCCGCCAGGCTATCTGCAAAGCATTTTCAATACCTGGGATGATCTCACTAATTTGCTTACTGTGTCCCCCCAAGACCAGAAGCTCCTAGAGGTTGGGGGTCTTGCTTTGGATAGTCTCATGTCCCAGGTCCAGTGACATGCCTGCCATGTGCTAGTTCTGTATATTAACCAAATGACTACCTAGGCCTGAGCCCGGTTTCTTTTAAACACAGTTGAACCCTCCAGTCTGTCCCAGTCATGATCCTGGAAGCTGAAGGCATCCTATCTTCTGCCAGCCTCCACCTCAGCCCTCTCCTAGCCTGACTCTCCAATAGCCGAAGGGGAAGCAGCCACCACAGAGTGATGATGCTCTCACACTGGAAGGCATCCACCACCCACCACCCAACATAAGGGGGTGAAGTAGGAAGGTAGATGTTCCAAGCTGGAAAGCTGGTGGGAATCTGTTAACATCTAACCCTGAGAAATACTCGTCGGGAAAGAGTCCCATAGCCCACAGCCCAGCTGCCTGAAGCATAAAGATGGTGTCATAGAAGCACAGATCTCACATCCTACAGTCTTGTGTTCAACTCGTAGGATGAAAGTTTCATCCTGGGTAGTGACAGTCACTAAGAGATCACCCTGGGAGAGGAAGAATAGGCACTTCTCTTCCTGTTACTGAGGAACCAGCCAGGTATACAGCCCACCTCAACCTCAGTGGCCTCTCCACACCTGCACTCTCGGGTTAAAAAACTGAAGACCTCCAGGGGGAGGTGGCCCACACCTTTAATTCCAGCACTCAGGAAGCAGAGGCAGGCCCAAACTAAATTACTGTGAGTTTGAGGCCAGCCTGGACTACAGAGTTAGTCCCCAGACAGCCAAGATAAGAAGTCTGTCTCAAGAACCCCCGCCCCTAAAAAAGACCAATCCTTTTTGTGGAAATGACTTTCCTCCTTCCTGTGTTAGCTAGGACCTTTGGACAGTATGTGATTTCTCACAGCAACCCCAGTACGGGGGGGGGGGGCAGAAACAGATGAATCCTGGGGGCTCACTGAGCAGCTAAGTCTAGCTAAAACAGCTCAAGGGTCAGTGAGAGGCACCATCTCAATAGGAAGAGGGCAATAAAAGAGGATGCCTAATGCCACATCTGACCTCCACATGCCATGCACACATACACATAAGTGCACCTGCATATGTGTGCATGCATACACAGGCATGCATATGTGTGTGCACACACACACAGAGAGACAGAGTAGACAGAGATCCAGGGGAAGGTACCTAGACTGACCCTCTCCACTCCCCACTCAGGGTTCTGAAAGAGCCTGCTTGTTGACAGATGCCCTGATATGTACTGAAGCCCCAAGACGCAGAGCAGAGCCCACTAGATTAGGTCCAGTGGTAGAAGTATTTGAGGACAGTGGCTTGCTATGTAGTCCAAGCCAGCCTCAAACTTGTGATCCTCCTGCCTCAGCTTCCTCCGCACTGGGATTTCAGGTATGCACCCACACATGCTTCCTTCCCCTGCAGTTTCCATTCTTGCTCAACCCTCTACTGGACACCTACTGTAAATGTCATGACACGAAGATATCCTAAAGAGATGCTTGTACCTTCCCTCAGACTATCAGACAATTGAAACTTTCCCAGGGGCCTCATGCTGGGAGAAAGAGAAGACTGAAGCCTGGTCCCTTCTAGAAGCATCTCCCAGGAAGAGATTTCATACAGTTCTGATAGCTTCTCAGGCTACCTTGCAAGAGAGGCAGCTAAGAATGGTGGAGGGCAGGACCACATCTTGACCAGGATGGCTTAGTTATCCATACTCCTGCCTTCTCCAAACCTCTTGTTAGGGCCACAGGGGAAGGCTGGGAGTTACTGGATCTGTTTGTTCCTTGTTGAATATATCATCTTCTGCTTTTCACTATAACTTGTCTACTAGGTTTCTTGAGGACAGGTGGTCAAGGTCCTTAAGGCCACCAGGACCAAGTCTCTAACCCTGACACCTCTAATAATCTAGTATATGCTGCTGAAGAGGCCAGAATGTCGGGTACCTGTCCTCTGACCTGTCGCAATGGCAGCTCTGGCTTCAGAGAGAGAAGTCTTGCTCTACCATGCCCTCCTGCACATTCACCGCATAGCTGAAAGTAGGCTACAGCTTCCGACAGAACTATCCAGAAGCTCGAGAGACCTTTCGGGGTATTTAGAGAAGAAAGGATTGCCTCTTTCTTATACACAGTGGCTGGTCATGACATAGGCTTACTGTGTCTTTAAAAGGTGGGGGAGGGGAATAGCAAGATGGCCCAGTAGGTAGAGATGCCAAGCCTGATGATCTGAGTTCAATCCCTGGGGCTCCACATGGTGGAAGGAAAGAACCGGTCCCTGCTGGTAGTCTTCTGACCTCCATACATATGCCACAGCACAAGTGTGCACAAGCACATGCAATCAATCAACCAAAAATAAAATCTAATTTAAAAAGAATAAAATCCCAGGGTGTATTTACGAAGTCAGGGTAGGTATGCTTTCTTTTTCTTTTCTTTTCTTTTTTTTTTTTTTTTTTTTTTTTTTGGTTTTTCGAGACAGGGTTTCTCTGTATTGTTTTGGAGGCTGTCGGTCCAGCCTGGCCTCAAACTCACAGAGATCCGCCTGCCTCTGCCTCCCGAGTGCTGGGATTAAAGACGTGCGTCACCACCGCCCTGCTAGGTATGCTTTCTTAAAGCTAATGTTTCAACTGTATGCCTGTATTTGACATTACCGTGTGGACCATATTCTTTCCTAAGGTTTAGTTAAAATAAGGTGGGGGAAATATATCTAGACTCCATCTCTACCTCCTGAGGCCAACTGGCCATGCCCACAAGCTCAGACTTAGCACCCTCTGTGCCCAACGGGGAGAGGAGCGCTCTAGTCATCACTGATACTAAAAATCGGAGGATGGGCTGGAGAACTGGCTCAGAGGTTAAGAGTGTTGATTGTACTTCTAGAAGTCCTGAGTTCAATTCCCAGAAACCACATGGTAGTTATGACCACCTATAATGAGACCTGATGCCCTCTTCTGGCATTCAGGCAGACAGAACACTATATACATAATAAGTAAAATTTTTTTAAGTCTGAGGACATTTCCAGAATCATTGCCTGCTACTCTCTCCTGTTCGTCTCTTTTTGGTGGCAGTTCTTGTCATGCTGGGCTCAAACCTGAGGCCTTGCAAATATTAAGCTTACACTGAGAGCTACACCCCTAACTCTTGTCTGCTTTGAGGAACCATTTTCTTTGATTTAACTAGCTCCATGTCAAGAGTCTTAGAGTCTGGGGCTGGAGAGATGGCTCAGTGGTTAAGAGCACTGATAGCTCTTCTAGAGGACCCAGGTTCAATTCCCGGCAACCACACGGCAGCTCACAGCTGTCTGTAACTCCTAGATCTGACTCCCTCACACGGACACACATGTAAGCAAAACACCAGTGCACATAAAATAAAAAATAAAAATTTAAAAATAAAAGAGTCCCACAATGCCCTGGCAAAATGATCCTTGTCACTACTGCCATAATGAGTATTTCAGAGCATTCATACCCACAGAGTCCTCCTTGCCTAGTGAATCCTCACAACCTCCCCACATGGTTAGAACTGTCACTA